AATCCATCCATCGAAAACCATTCCCCGAATCATCCTCACACTGTCTATTTGTGAATCTCCTGCGGCACTTAGAAAAATTAACGGATAATTTAGTCTTCAAATAAGAAAATCACATTACCATTTTAAATATTTTTAAAACATGTTTGTATATATTTTTCTTGCCATTTCTTTAAAAAAAAAGTTTCTTCTCTTACATAATAAATATCCTTCACATTAAAGAAAGTAGTTGTATTTAAATATTATTTATTTTTCTCAATGCTACTTAAATTGATTTTCTAATATTTTTATATCGTGTCTAGAATTCCATAAAATATTTCAATACTTGGGAATTGAATCTATTTATTTATAACTCTAGTTTGGGTGAAAAACTAAGATTCCCTATTAATACTTTCTATATTTGTATTGTTAAGTTAGTAACTTAAACCATTTTTCTCAGTGTAGAGAGCTCTAGATTCCAGGAGATGGGTGTGAAGTGCGGCACATTTAACGCTCAAAGGTATGTGTGGGCCCGATGCGTGAAGTGGGCGTGGCGGCGCCCTCTTTGCAACTGCAGCACTTGATTGTGCAATAAAACTGGAAGAGCAGGCAAGGGCATTGCAAATTGCTCGACACCCCGCCCTTGAGTTTTCCCGGCCACAGCTGTGGGCCATTCGCCACGCTTTTCCATTTCGATTATTTATTTATGTTCATGTCGCGATGCGGTTTTTTGATTTTGGGAAGGTGCCAAGTCATCGACGATCGCTCAATTTGCTAAGCATCTGACGCCATATGGCGCCAAGGCACAGTTCCGCTCTTAATAAGACAATAACAGATTTCTTGTAAATTATGCCAACGAGGGTGGCACCGCCAATGAAAAATGAGTTGTTAAGGTGGCAATATGGGGTTTGTGTGCAGGAGTCTTCCAGGAAAGTCTTTCGATTTAATTAAAAGACACCACCCCAAAAGGGAAGTCTAAAGTAATATCAAAGGAAAACACAACCAGAATGCATAGCCATGAAAAGCTGCACGATGAAAGGCCCAGACATATGTTTGCCCAAGGTGTACACAAAGAAAATTTGCTATTTTATATTTAAAACTAACAATTGAGAATATTAAATGTAAGCTAAATGAAAGGATTTGACACTCTTTTCAGAAATATTTAAGTTGTTATTACCATTGTCTTTAAGCTTATATTTGTTTGCTCTGTTCAATGAAAATATTTAATTTCGTCTCTAAATTTTGTAGAATCCAACAAATTTATTAAGCACAGAATCTTTTTTAGGGCAATTCAGGATTAACCTTTTTTATGTTAAGTGCACAGATGACGTAGGGCCCAGATGGAAAGGATGCGAAGCAAACTGAATGCCAATGACAAATTTATGTATAAACTTTAGCGCTAAAGTGCCACTAACTAACCTCTTCACACATACCCACCCACCCAGCATTAGATAAAAGGCGAGTGCAATGGCACGGCGCTTTATGAAGGAATCCAAAGGATCTATGAATAGATGCACCTGAGCCTGCGGATGAGGATGAGTGTGGGTGATGCCCTAGCACTCACAATGAGCGCTCCCCCGTTGATTGCTATCAAAAGAGTGGCCTTCCGAAAGATAGAAGCCGGAAGATAGGGTCTCCGAAAAGGGGTCCAAAGGGGGCCCTGTTCCGTGAGTGGGTGCCAAGCTTCTGACAATGTCAATGTGCTGCGGATGCTGCGCAGCTTTTAATGATTTATTTGAGAAAATTTACACGTGAGCGCCGTAGAAAAGCTGGATAGAATGGGGTTTCGCGGAAAACAAACACTGCCACAGACGCCGGCAAACAGAAGATGAATGGAAATGGAACCCGCATGGAACCGGAGCATGGGTGGCGAAAGGGGGGTCAGCCCCGAAACATATGGTTTCGGATGGGGGGAAGGGGGGGATGGGCAGGACATCCTGGTGAATTAAGTTGCCAGACCATGAAATGCTTTGGCACGTACGTAGCGCCAATTCAGCGAAGCTTTTTGCATAAACAAAAGACAGGGGCGGAGGCGAGGGGCGCAGAGGTTGGGCCCTACTCCCTGGCTATCTTCCCTCCTTCATCGCACATTTTCCCCAGCCTTCGCTCGCTTTTTGTATGTTATTTCTGTTACAATTCGCGGATTTTTTTTCATACACCTTTAACGATTTATCATGCGAAAATTGTCTGGGGCCAAAGCCACGCTTACTTTGCATATGCCAAGCCACAGATATGCACAGTGGGCAAAACAATTTAAATTGGGGCATTCTCCAAAAATTTGGGCAACAATACTTATACAAGTTATATGCTAAATATTGATAAAAAATAAAACTCCAGACTTAAGTCAAAAAATGTTTTCTGATTCGATTTTTGTTCTAAATAAATTGTTTTCTTTGTTAATTCAATTTATGAAAATATAACTTTTCTTTAATTAGACTTAAATAGTATGAACAAGTTAAATTAGGACAAAATATAACAAAATATTTGAACACTCGTAATTATTAATCTATACAGGATCAGTTAAAATGGCAAACCATTCAAACTTATCATCAAAACTAATACTGGCCTTAAACAAATTATCCTTAAATATTAATACAAATTTATTAAATGTAGATAAATATAAAATATTTAACCAATCATGATTTGTGAACCCAATAAATCCGACATATCCGACACTGCCCCAAGTTTTATTTCAAGCATATATTATATAATATTTGTCACCCCTTTTTTGGCGTGTTCCATTGTGCAAACGTTTACTATTATTGTTTTACCACCTGCGGGTGTTTTTTTCTCCCAGAGTCTCGCTCTCCTTTGGCACTACGTAAATTTAGTCACGTTGTTTAAATAATAAACTGCAGTTCACACACACGCCCCCGCAAAAACACACTCATCCCCATCCCCAGACGGCATTATGCGAAAGCAAAGAAAAATACACATATATCTGGGAGTCGGAATCAGAGACAATGGCCAGAGTTATGATGACAATGTGCATACGTCATGGTGGCGGTGGGTGAGTAGCAAAAAGGGCTCCATCCCACGGTTTGATTTGGTTTATTGCGCCCCAAACCAACTGAAACTGATGCCACATAGATACAGCTCAATCAGCAGAACAGTTTTTATTTTTCTTTTTTGGATGCGATGGGAACAGGTGGAGAATGGGGGGAAGAAAAGAAATAAGCACAATTAATTATTGTCTATCGCTAAACAAATATCTGGGCGTTTTAATTAGCATGAAATATACGAAAACTGCGATAAGATCTGTGTAATTTTATGGGGCCTTTGGGGGAATTTGGTACCCGTTAAACTCGAGTAGCGATATAGATCGAGTGGAAATGCCATCAAAAGTCATTTCGAATTGAGCCATAAAGCACCGTAAAAACCCGTTGATGGGAAATTAATGGCTGGCTGTGGGTTAGTTAGTGACGCAGGGGTCGGGGTCACCCCGGTGACCACCACCCATTTGGGAAGCCATAGCTGACATAGTTGGCATTTGCAGTCGGTGAATTTGCATACGCAGCGCCCTCCTCCAGGTATGAGCACAACAATTTGTTACATTGTTTTTACCAACTTAGTTGTGGACCAAGAATTATTACGCAGCATAAATTCCAGACCATGGTAACCCACTTTTCAGCCCGGAGGCAACAGCAAAAGGGTTACCAAAAATAGCAATCCCAGCCATATAAAGCGAGCAGAATAAAGGATGGGGTAGCAGCATCCTCCTCACATAAGGCCATAAAATAGTTGTCGCTTGCTGGCTGGCTTACTGGCTGTCTGACTGTCTGGCTGGTTGACTCCCTGGCTGGCTGGTTTTTCTGGCAACGGATAAGCATCTGGCCCCCGCTCCTCGGAGTTGGCCTCTGATTACTTCGTTAAGTCGCATGTTCCTACAAATTGTTTCCAAAGAAAGGCAATGAAAATGAAAATTATTGCCCCTGCCCCACGCCCCCCAAACTGAAAATGTGGGGATCCGTAGGGGTTAAAGGTAATCACAACAGAACATGAAAATTGTGAAAGGTGCATCTCGCCTCTAGTTTATGTTTGGATGCCCATGATCCCGATCTCAGTCTGACTCCTGTCAAAATATATTCCAACTCTTATCGGGACTTTGTCATCGCAGACAGTGGAGGCACTTGTCTGGGAACTGGGGCTTCATTAGAGAAAGTCCCCTCGACTCGACTACTAATTTTTAGTAGCTTTGTTTTCGATTGTGTATACATTTTGTCAAAGCTAATTAGTACGTAAGGGCATTAACTATGCAGCCCCACCAGTGATGAATATATGACTGAGCCCAACAGAGGCACCCCGAATGTGAGTGTGAAATGCATATTTTCGTCTTTCTTTTCGGGTTTCCTCAAGTCATTATGACATTGGCATTAGCATAATACGCGTATTATGCGTATTAATTACAGCGCAGACATTTGCATTTAAACGCCTATTTGTCCCAGGTACCATGGAGAAAAACACGAGACGATCCCAAGACGGTGGTGGGTCTGGGTCCCAAAACATTCCCCGGTAGCCAAAGCTCGGGCTGTAATTATTGAATTAGAAGACAATAGGCCCTAAAGACGGGAGATGCGTACGCTTTGATAGCTGGAGAGGAGAAAAGACCACCCGAGCGTGGAGGAATATCCGAAGATGATGATGAGACCAGGACAGGAGAACAAAAAGAGTTATTATGTGGATATTTGCATAAATTTCACGCCCTTGCCGATGAAATCAACCGGAGAGGAAGTGCCAAGGGCCACCACCGTTCTCAGAGCCGAGAAAGCCCCTATACGGAAACTGATAATCAACTAATTTAACTACATAATAAGTTTGGGAAATAGGAATAAAAACAATATTCAAAAATCTAAAAAAAAGTTAGAAGTTAAGATTAAAAAACTAATTAATAGCCAAGTGAAATTTTTTTTTCTATTTGAGTTTTATTATATTTTGTAATGTTTAGTTATAGTTCAATTAATTTTGTTAAGAAATATTGCTAAAATTGAGTTTCTCCAAACAACATAAAATAATAAGACAATAAATAATGACACAAACTGTAAATATTGTATTTAATGAAATTTAAATACCTACTATTTGAACAAAGATTACCAAGAATAATTTTAATTTGAAATTTGTTTATCAGATAATATATTTTACCTACACTCAGAAAACTAAATTCCTTGATTTTGGGAAAAATTGCCTAAGTTTTAGGAATAATTGCCTTAAATTTGAGCCTTCCATACAACATTTAAGGAAATTGTTGCTAAGATTAAGTCAATTTTCCTGAAATCAAGGAGTGTATGTTTAATTTTATTACTTTAATGTTTTTCAAGCAAATGTATGCATTCCAGTACCAAAACCCCTTATATATATCAATATCACAATTTAAAGGCTTTACCAAGCTGCTGCTTCAGCCCAACATGCTAAGGAACTCGCTGCCCAGATGATGCACATCACTGAAGTGCTCCAGCAGGGACGTGGGACACCTCGGATACACCTGATCGCAATCGCTACCAGCTGCTCCCAATCGCTCGGCCTGCAGGTAATCGTTGTCCGAGTGCTCCGACAGAGGATCCACCGAACTAGAAGGTCTGAAAGGTTGGGGAAGAGGGTTACAATGGAGCCGATCCCACGACCATAAACTCACGTGAGCAGGATGTGAAGCACTTCGCCCAGCAAACCATTTCGATCGTCGAAGGGAGCCTTCGCACTTTCGCAGATGCTCTTCAGGACGCAAACCCTTCCATTCAGCTTCATGCGAATGGCCAATGCCGTAAAAGCATCGTAGACTGACCAGCGATAACAGCCCCAAGCCTGGAGATCCTCCTCCAGGATATTTGGATCCAAGCCCAGTTTTTGTTCAGACATCTGCATCACCTTATCGAAGATTGTGGCATTCTGCGGCAACCTTCGAGCTGAGATTCCATGCACATCCTTGGTCCTTAACTGCTTGGCGGAGTATGGCAAGTAATAGTGAGCCTTTAAGACATAACCTGTTACCACAGACTCTACTTTTAGGTCTTCCACTGGTATACCGAAGCCTACGATCATCTGGAAAATATTAGTTTATAATCGAATGTGTATTTAGTTAGTTTAATTAACCTTAACTTACCTGTATTCGAGTAGGATTGGCTCTAGGATAAATCAAGGGCAGCCATCTAGCTTTTCGCACTAAAATATCACTCTCACTTTGATTATACTGTGTTGAATTAGAGGGGAAAATTCCAAAAACATAAAGAACACTAATAACTAAAACTGCTGATGAGAGAACGTTCATGATAAAGTCCTTAAAAATCTATTTAGTACACAATAACCTCGCGGCTCAAAAGAAGACTGATGACTAAATTAGCAAACGGCCAAATGATTTCACTTTAGTAACGTACGGAATCGAACTTCTTACTTTCTTCGATTAGGAAACCGAAAGTGCCATTAGCTGCAGGTAATATGGCACAATTTAGTCACGATCAGAATTGGGTCCATTATTTCAACTGACTAAAAGTTCACGTTCTGTTAATTAACACTCAAATTTTGTTTTTTTTTTTTTTCGAAAGCCCCATTGGCCGCAAAGAACACTGAGCAAAGTTTTGGTATCATTTAAGTCTTTTTTTATTTGTTCAGAATATGATCTTGTCCAGATTGTGATGGAGTTCGCTAAAGTGTTGCAGTAGACTTAGTCGACACTCCTTGAAGACGCGATCACAACCAGCGCCTGATTGACCCACCTTTTCGGCATAGTAATACTCGTTATCAGCATGTTCTGATAACTTGTCTACTGAGGAGGATGGTCTGTAGAATTGGGTTAATAAATTAATAAATTGATAAACCTTTTAAAGGGTTTTGAGTTAAAGACTTACGTTAATAATATGTGCAAAAGATCCGCAAAGAGCCCATTGGTGTAATGAAATGGCTCCTCTGCCGCCTCGCAAATGCTCTTCAGCACACAAATCCTGCCCTGGTATCCCAGACGATCGGCCAATCCCTCCAGTCCCTTGTAGACTGTCCAGCGATAGCTACTTAAAACCTTATTGGTCCTGGTCAGCAGCTTCCTGGTGTTCTTGCCCAGCTCATCCACTCCCACAAGGAAGTTCTCAAACATGGGTTTCCTCTGCCTTCTGGCTCCAGTGATTCCTGGCGTGGCCACTTGGGTGAGAGGCAATGCTGTGGGTGTCCTCAGCTCATCAGGTTCGGTGGGCAGCCAGTACTCCACCTTCAAGACATAGCCGGTGGTCACCGCCTCATAGTTGAGATCCTCCAGCGGAATACCTATGCCGCCAATGAACTGGTAGGGAAGAATTTAGGTGTTTAAAGTTGGGGATTCTTCTTTCTAGTAATCTAGTTTTTACCATAACTCTGGTGGGTGATGTGGTGGGGTATATAAGCCAGGGAATGGGAGCTCTCTTGCTCCTCTGATGCTTGGACAGACTGCCCAGGGTGGCCAGCACCTGGGCGAGCAGGCAACTAACCACTATAATGACTATACGTAGTTTCATTTTTTTGTTTTTTATTTTTTATCTACGCCCGAGCGAATCTCAGTGCGTGTTTATGCCAGCTCAGGTCTTTAGCTACTAATCCATGTTCTAGGCGTTCTTTTTCTGGCTCACGAACATTTCATTTTGGATTTCTCAATAAAAACGGCTTCATCAATCGATCCAAGAAGACTTTCTCGCCCGAGAATGTTACACATTCTAGCAATTAGCACCTGTCGGAATAGACAACGGCGATCGCTTGAAGACGGGGTCAAGTGGTAACCGTGTAAATCTTGCACATTCCGGTTTTCTTTTCTTAGCCGCGCCAATACCGTAAGCCACTTCTCACCCATTTATTAGCGGATTTGCCAATTCTGACGCCCATCGTTTGGGCAACATGCAACTTTTGCAAAGTGCATTTAGTTAGCTTACAGCTTGGCCTAAGATGGTTGCCTTTCGCTGGGAATTTTACTTGGGTGTGGTCTTGGTTTTGGGTCTTGGTCTGGCTCACTGCTTTCTGGTCTTTCCACGTCAGGGATCCTTTGGTGTGAGTAAGGGAAGCCTTTAATAATTACATTATTCTTTAAATATTTTTTAGTTATTGGCTGCCGTGGCCATTCCTTTGGAACTGGGGCCTAAAAATGTCTACATGGCCTTCAACTTTGAGTCCAACTATGCTTTGCCATCCAATGATTCCTATAATCAGTGGATTGATAGGGTAAGCTGGAATACTTAGTTCTTATCTCTTACTAAGTGTAAATAATTGAACCTTCTTTCAGTGGGATTTGGATGATCACTTTATGGGCGTTGGCGGTAATGTCACACCTATAAATGCTCGCCAGGATGGAGGAGAGTTCCCAGAGGACGAGGACAATGAGGTGAAGCGTCGCTCGGTGGGATCTCCACCTCCCTTTCGACGCCACGACTTCTACCGCAGTGTTATTAATTTCCTGACCCACTATGGATTCAATGGTTCTGCCTGCCTGCTGCGAACTATCTGCGAGGTCAGCGAATCGCCTCTGGATGCCCAAAACGGACTGGTTGGCAGCCTGTTTCAGATTCTATTCATGTGAGTTCGCCCCCCATTCCCGAACTGATTTTCTCCAAGGGGTAGCCACTAATTATGGCATCCTTTCCCCGATTTCCATGCAGGCCGACGGCGAGTGCCGCGGAGCGGGAACTGCAGCACGTGGATGGCCTTTACGAGGCCTCCGATGCGGGCACGCATGGCCCGGGCTGCTCAGATTACGTGGCCCACTGCCAACACAGTGCTCTGGACCTGATAAGCATTGTGTTCTGAATAATTATGATGCGGAAAATTTAAATCTCTAACTGAGCCAAAAACTGTCCTTAGTCCTGATTCTTTAAGTATAACGTTCAAGTAATTTGTTAGTCTTTTATATATATCACAATATAAACTGCATTACACCGCTTAAATGTCTTAAAAAAGTAAAATTTCTATATAAAAAAAATTTGTAAATAAGTTTTACTTATCATCCTCTTTAAAATGCCAAGTGGTACTTAAAGGTTTTTGTAAAAATGTATAAAAATTTAGGGAAAAAAGACATTAAACACAATAAAATTCAATTGCTTTGTTTAATATTAAATTAAACGTTTTATATTTTAGGTTGGATGTGTACAAGTTTATTAAAAAATTACTAAAATAACATTGTTATTTTTGGTACTTTACTTTACTTTATAATAACACAATAAATAATATAAATATTGGAAGTATTAATATAGGCTGTTGTAAGCCACATGCAGGTTGGATTTAAAGGATATGTGTTTATTCCACCCAGCTTTAAGTGCCTCGAAATTTCTCAAGTCACCTCCTGCTGCGCCGTGAAATGTTTTAATTTCGCTAAAAGAGCTTAAAGACGACGACGCAATGTGGTGGCAACAAAGCAGATGATGATGGCAAAAAAACAGGAGTCCTAAGCTGGCCGCATAGATCTGGTTTGGATTTTGGCCTGCTTAGGGGTTTTTCAGATGGGTTTACCTCACGTCGGACATGTGATGATGCCCCTGCTTTATGTTTTCGAGTTCGAGCTCTTTCTTTCGCTGTTTGTTGGCTCTTTGATCGCTTTTTCCGCTTCTTTTGTGCAAATGAAGTCGCCCCTGCTCCGCATCCTTTGTCTGAGTGTATTTTGCGGTCTCCTTCATTTCGGCGGCCTGTCAACAATGCCATAGAGGAGTCTCCTTTTCCGTTGTTCGGAGTGTTTTTTGTTTGTTTGTTTGTTATTTCTTTGATTCGATTTGCCGCCTTCAAGGAGACCCGAAAGAGTCCTGGCGATGGTGAGAGCGAATTACGCCTTCTTTGATTTTGCCAAGCCATTGAAATCATAATTAGAAGACAAATGATTCCTCTGTTCTTCTCGAGATCCCCTAACAATGGCCAGGCATCGAGGCTGAAGTGCTTATGTACGCCACAGTTTGAGAAAGGTTTATGAAAAACACACAGAAACTTGAGTACTAATAAGCTTAGGCGATGTGTGGAAAGAGTTGGATTTGATGTACAAAAGGGATCGAGAGCGGGGTAGATCCAGTCCCAAAACTATATTTGGCAAAGAATCCTTTAGTTGTTTGTATAAGTATAATTTTTTCATTACCTATCCTTTTATTTGTTTTTCTTTTTTATTGATTACCAAGATTATAATATTTTTATTTTGTATATTGTATATTTCCCAATATATACATTGCATTCATTCCTCTGTTTTATACTACATTTTTAAGTTAACAAGATCCTTTACAACCCTTTACAACATATCGTATTCTAAGCACCTATCTCAAATGACTTAGAATAACATCCATCAACTGTGATCCATCTTTTCCTCCTTAAATATATCTCCTCTCAAATCTACATTGTCCTCCACTGACCTTTCATATCTCGCTCTCATACTATATATCTCAATTGTGGGATCATAAAAGACAACCATCAAATGTGATCCATCTCCTCTAGATTCCAGTGTTTTTATGACTTTTTCTGCCGCTTATTTCGTCACTTCAACATGGCTGGATGTCTGTCTAAGTTGTCTCCTTTGATTTACGGCCAGCCTGAGATGTCAATTTATTTTTGTGCTCTGTTTTTAAACTTGGCATTGACACTGGCCATATAACATTTTAATGGGGTGCGGGCAGGTGTGCTAAGGAGGTTCTCCCCGCGATCCCGTTTCCTGTTGCGGTTTGTCTTCATTTGCCTTTGGGGGCTGGTTCGAATTGATTTGTAATTAGTTGCAGTTGCAGTTGCAGTCAACAATGTGATTATCCCGGGATTTGGCATGGGCCTAACCACAAGGGATGCCGCAAAGGAGTTGGGGGCGGACTTCGATCTAGGGTTACACAGATGTGCGCAGACACGTCCACATCCCGAGAAGTGGATCCACTTGAGATCGGGATATGCATAAATTAAGTCAATAGCAAAACATTATCCTAGGCAATTGACAGCTCCCTTAGGCGAGTCATCTATCCATGACATATGCATATCTGGAGACAGAGGGCGTTCTAGTGAGTTGTAAACGCATCTGTGGGCAGGATTTCTGGGCTGTGGACAACCGATCCCCCGCCATGTGTCGGCAACTGTTGGAATCCCATCTATGTAGTATGTAGTATCCATAACCGATGACAGTTCTGCGGTGTAAATCATTGTGCGGCAACTGTCACGCATTTTGAGGTTTTCATTTAATAAATTCGAACACTTTGTGAGCTCGCACTTTTTTTCCACCCACCAGATGGGTTATTAAATTAGAGTTTAATCCACTTCACTCACGCGTCTGCGAACATTAATTGAATTCATAAATGAGCAGTTTATATGATATTTATAAATTAACTAATTACCGTATCATTTGATTGTTTTTTTTTTGTGTTTTTCTTGCGGTTTTTATTTGTTTTCCGCCATCAACAATTGGATTAAATTTATAATACCAATTGGCATTTAAAATAACGCTTTTAATAATGCCAAAGCGCAAAAAAAAATCTGAAATACGAAGTTGCAAAATCGCATTTGACTGGTTGGATTTTCTGTTTATTTTAATTAACTTAATGAAATGCTTTATACAAAGGCTTATAATAAACATGAATTTTTGCTCAATGGGATTATATGGAGGATTTGTTATTGCTTATCTTATAGGACTAAGATTGAATTTAAGAGAATTAAATTTTGAAAAACCAAGAAAAACAACTTAAAATGAAAACCGCTTTATTTATCTCATATAAAGTATAAAATTTTTAACTTGACTGATTGATCAATTTGCTCTCCTGAAATAACGATCAAAGTTTTCCGTGCATAAAGACTTCAATTTTCCCGTTTTTATCAAAATCCCAAATCTTAATTAAGAACTTCTCATGGGGCAATATCTTAAGAAGTTCTCCCATGAATTTCTAGATTAGTTTCAACTGGCTGAACCACTGTATCCTAACCACCATATCAAATTGATGGCGTCTGTAATAAAAACTGAATCATTAACCGATGGCAAAAGGTGTTCCCACAACTTCTTTATCGGGAAATATCAACACCTCAAACGTGCCATCCCCTAACCTCCTTATTAATAAGGCTACCTCATTGTCATCAGTCATAAACACTTTCGGGTCATATGAATAATGTCAAATTGTTTCATTGCACCAAACCCGAGGTGGGGTGCATTTAAATGTTGATCGATTGCAGGCGAGAGCTGAAACTAGTTTGACATTAATTGACTGCCAAGTATGCACAAGCGCATGAAATTATGGAAAATCCTATTAAAGTCAACCCATCCTGGCCCAAGTCGCAGCCCCTGGCAAGTTGTGAAAAAATCAACTGGGCCAAAAGTTCATAAATGCTAATGTGCCCCCGCAGCCTGACGATGATTGATGGTCGCCTCCGACTCCATTGGCAAAGGAAAGTTCCGTTTCCCGCCGCACATTTTCCCATTTTGGGGTTTCCTGCTTGCCACAGACTGCGCAAAATTATGCGAAGGATCAATCCTTGATGAACTGTATACATTTCACCTTTGTGCTCTAGGTCCCATTTAAGCCAATTTAATCCCGAGCCGGCTTAGGACATTACGATCTGGGATTAGGCCATGTTGCAACATCTTCTCCCGCGCAGATTCAGTTGTTATGTCCTAGCAAATATTTGAACGGGATTTGTTTGTAGGCGGTGTTCCCCTAATGATCTTTGCCAAAATGGAAATCTGATTTTCCAATTCCTGGGAAAGTAGGCGGCTCACCCAAATAGCCCTTTGTCTGCCTAGTCTTGGCTAAGACCTTATTTTAGGAATTATCCCAGCCGCTCTATTGGTCTGTTTTATTTTGTTAGCAGCACGAGGCGGACTTTTTTAAAGCTTTTCGTTAACATGGCAGTCAAGACCAGTGTTGGCTACTTTTGAGACAAAATCACATCAGTTGAGGAAAAAAATCTATAAGATAAACAACAAATTTACAAAAAAAAGTATAAACTTTTCATTTAAAAATATGGTAGTCTGTACTAGCAAAAAACAATAAAAGCTAGAAATGGATAATTTTTAAATATTTTTGAACTAATAAATTGTATAAATATGAAAACAAAAACGTGTTTGAAACTTTCAACTTTTTGCAATCTCATTAAAGTTGGCAACAGATTATAGAATATTAAATGGATTGAATAAAAACTCTAAGAAACTAAACTATTAAAGATACTTATTCCTGTTTTTTTAGCTACAGCTTTTAATACTTTGGTAGTTTAAATAAATTGTAAAAAAACTGAAATAGCTAGAGAGGCTGCTCTAGGCAAATCCAATAGTGCCGAGACCCCCACATTTCTAGTACCCTTCTTGCTACCAATTTGCTTCTTGCTTTACGATGTGTCTGTTGGAGTTCGCATGGCATAATTTTTCACTCACTCGTTTGGTGCGTATTCCAATCCCTGGCTGTCTGCTGTGTTTTTTCCTTCATATTTTCTTTCATATGTGTTCGTGTTGATAAATTTGCTTAGATTATTATCCTGGATCCTGACGTGGCCGGCTCTGCTTGCTGTTATCTCCCTGTCGTAATTAGTCTCGAGCTTGTTTGCGCCGCATTTAAACAAAATGCTTTTCCAGGCGCCGCACGCACTCACGGAATTGGGGAAAATGGACACGGGACAGGGAGCTCATATCCGGACGGACAATAGGGATGGGCCTGGACTGCCGTATAGGCAAATTGCTCCGGAATATGAATGAGTGAAATTCGTTTTTGCTGCGACCGCCACCGCTGCCACAAAAAATACCTCATATTCTGATAGATAACCCGAGGAATCGGAGGCCTTAAATTGCTAGATATCTTGGGGAGAAAGCGCAGCTCGTCCCCAAGTCAAACTGACAACCTTTTAGCATAAATTTCTCCAGGCAGAGAACTTGACAGGAAGTCGTCGCCAAGCGGCAAACGGCAACCGGCAAACGCCTTCGCCAACCGCAATTTCCATTAGCAGCAGTTTCGAGGGTATGGGAACTCATATGTGTGGGCACGAAAGGATGGATGGATGGTTGGTCCCCGAGAACATTTGACATTTTAAGGAGCGCCAAGTGAGTTGGCGAGCAGGCAACAGCTCAGGTAATACAGTATGCCAGGATAAAAGCCCCCAGACGCAGACGTTGTGCCTCGCCCATGGAATATGTCAACTGTTTTTAGCACGCACAATTTGAGGGAAAGCCAAACAAAAAAGCAGGAAAAATGCTCTCCAAGGTAACATGAATATATAAGCGATGGACTCGAGCGCTAAAACACACAGTCGAGAGATTGGCGCAACCTGCTCCAATTCCAATTTCAATTCCCCGGCCCACACCTGTGGGAAGGGCTCGTATTACGAATGCAATGTTCAAATAGAAATTAAATGCCGGGCCAAACCGCATTTTAGACAAATGCCGAGCCGGGAGCGCACACTCGCTGGTATCGGCTTTCAGGACAACGAATTCGGGTTTCAAACAGCATCCCTCGAATGAAGCAGGTAACCTCCAAATCAACCACAACATATACACCTACTTCCTCCCTGACACCCGAGAAGTTTGCCAAAAACTCAACAAAAAAAAACAAAACCCGCCACAATGCCAAGGAAGTTGCGGCCTTAACAGGAAAAGAATCGAAAACTCTTCGAAGAGGAAATGCGGCCAGATCGAAGTGATAGATAAAAAGTATGTTAAGTGCCCCTGAAAGGCGATGGTTTAACGATAAGTTTAAGCTGCAGATACGATTTAGCCCAAGCCAAAACGTAAATTAAGTGAACAAAGCGGCTAAACCGAAACGTTAAGTGAAGATTGATCTACACTTCACAAAAAGAAGATAAATTATCTTTAAGAAGGTATATAATACAATAAGTAATATAACTTTGAAACGTATTAAAATAATTAAACATTTAACTATAAGGATTTGGCACTCAAATGTAGAAAATTGAATTCCGACAAGATTTAGTTATTAATTTATAAAACAAAATGCAATATAGCAAAAAAACTTAAAGATATAACTTTTTGTGTACACGCTTTGGAAAAGGCTAAAATGTTTTTTAAAAGGATATCTTTCAAAGCTAATAATAATTATAATAGTTATAGATAATTTATTGTTCTTACTAAATATTCAATCAATTAGCTTTTTCGGTAAATAATTATTGCATAAAAAAAATGTACTTTCATAAAACAGAGATTTTATGACCTAAAATTAAAATTTACAAATTTTTGAAATACAATTTTTTTAATTGCATTAATGCATTAATAATTTGAACTATAATACTTGAAGACCCAATATAAATTATTCCCTATTAAGCAGAGTTTTCTTAATGCCCAAACAGTTTCAGTTCTGAACGGAGTTTCTCAGATTGACAAACTGTTCCAAGTATTGCAATTTCCCGAAACAGAAAGAGCTCACAGATCAAACTCCGTTTGCGGTGGACAGTGGACATTAATTACGGCCCAGTAGAGTACCGACAAAAGTCCTTGGGACCCATGTGAGTACCCATACCCGACCAGCATCGAATGCTTTCAATAAAAGTTGCCCCAAATGGGTGCCGACAAAGGCCGAACGAACAATTGGCCAACAAAAGGAGGTCGAAATTACAGCGCACTTTCGATTGCGGAGCGAAAAGTGCCGGCAGTTGGGGTGTTGGCCGATGCATTTGTCATGAGCATTTTGCAAGCGGGCCAAGAGTCGAACAATTAGTTTACGCCCTCGATTTCTGGAGCTGTTCCTGCTCTTTTTACACCTGGTAATTGCTCCGCAAAAACTTCTTGTAATTTTTCTTTAACGAATCTCAAATGACTTTGCTCAGACCTTTGTCCCTGCCGTCTTGCCCATTGTTGACCGGAGTCCTGTGGTTTTCCCTCCCAGCTGCAAGTGTGAGAGAGGTCCTGTGAAAAGCAGCTTGCTCTATTAAAACTGCAGCGACATTTATGGCCTTGATCTGTACAGAATTCTGGCTTTTTGTTGGTTTACCAATTGGCCCTGGAATTGGTCGTCGATGATTAATGGTGGTCCGTCCTCCACATCGGCAAACCAATTCTGCCAAATTCCTTGTCAGTCTGCGTCTGTTTCTATTGACGCATTGTGACTCTAAAGGCGTTGGTCTCCTTTCTGATCCTTTGTCCTTGGGTCAGCACCTTTTTATTTACACCTTCGAGGCGGCGAACTCTTTGGTTTTCCCTAATTCTCTTGCAATGACCGTCGGATGACTTTGGAATTGTTTGTTTGGCAGCAGCTGAAATTGGCTTACAGTGATCCAAAGAAGAGATCTAAGGAGCTATTTTGATTGCACTATTATTGTTTTTAAGGTTCTTTATAAGCATTCTTGATTCTTCACATATTCTACAGCCGATTTATTAACCTTTTTACTGTAACAAGTTCAGAGTATATCTTTGCAGGATTTGTTATATATTTATTTATTAATGTATGGTAATATTTAGTTTAATGGCTTTCAATGTCTTTTTGTTTGAAATTTTTACCTTTTTCCTTTAAATTTCAGTATAAAACTATTTTCTATCTGTACATCTTTGCTAGCATTTTATTTTCCCACAAAATGTATACTTTTCGCTGCCCTACTAAACCTTAATCACAGCCGTTAAGTGTTTTCTTTTAAAACTTTCCTTTTCTTAATGGATTTTCATGTTTAATCCCAACCCCGATATATTTGTTTAGTAATAATTGGCACACTTTGTGGGTCAGCTGATGTCTACCCTGTAATAAGCAACTGTTTAAGCACTTACCCTTGCAAGCAGAAGATTAAATATTTTGATGGATTTTCAATAAGGCCGCATTCGTTTGGGAATCATTTGCCCTGATGACAAGCCTCATTATTCGCCGGGGATCCGCTTTCGCAAAGAGTCCAATTAGAGAGCGCAAGATGAGTTTAAAATTGAATTTAAAAGGCATCAGACTGTTTACCGTAATAATATCGACACATTTATGGGACTCTTCACTCGGCTCCACTCCTGTCCGAAATTCCCCTGACTCCCTCGAGGCCCCAAACGAGGTGATCTTCGGTCCAGGTGCTATACCTTAATGGGCTTTTGTATTCTGATGACCAAGGCCCGCGGCTGCTTCCTCATCGCAAATGTATCTGCTTCTCGCTCGCCGTAATTTCCTCCTCCTTCTTACTTAAGTACATTTTAAACTTGCCGGATTTTTTTATTTTTCCTTTAAGCCTGGACAGATGTTTTTGCATAACTGCAATGTGTATACATTTTTGCTGGAATCGAATAAAATAAATCACAATTAAATACATATTTTTTTTATATTTTTTAAAATTAAACAGTTTACTAAGCGCATTCACCTTAAAAGGTAAAGAAATTGGCAAATTTGTAATATGAAATATTTTTCGACAATTGTCGAACATTTAAAATGAGAGATAATTATATGGTCAATACTTTTTTGTTTGAACTTTTGACCAAAATAAAACATTTATAAAAGATTTAAAAACGTATGCTCTAGAAATCTTATCTCATGTGTTTAAATTTAATTTTTATTTTAATATGATATTAATAATATTAGTTTTTTTAGACACGTTCCGCAAGTGATTATTATAACACAATAAATTTATTAAATAGCAATGTGTTAGTTTGTAAGCATTTCTACGAATTATGGATTTAAGTAAACTATTTTTAAACCTTTTTTCGATGCCATCTCTGCTGTCTGCATCTTTTAACTTACGTTTTTTCTTCTGCTGCTGACTTAAATAAATTTAAAACCGGCTGGTTTTTTCTCACTCCTTGAAGGAAAGGACAGATGTTTCTGGCTTGTGCTTTTTTTCGAGCGCTATGATTCTTTTTTGCCATCCGCCCGCTCTGAGTTAACTGATATTGTGGATGCTTTATTACGGTGGTCTGTGAGCTGAACCTGCAGTCGGTGCCTTTTCCTGCATCTGTTATCCTGACAGCAGGACTCTCCTCACCTCTCCTCACCTCACCCGCACGCTGGGGAGGTAATCGATCTCATGTGGTTTATTTACATCCGTTATTGAAATTCACTTTCCGCTCTTGCTTTTGTTTTATGAATTGGCTTTGTGTACCGCCCCGAATCCCAGCTCGTATTGATGACAATTGCAGTTTTTGGCATGCAGCTGGGCACATTTACATCCGCTTGTTGTGTTCACCTTTTGGCAACAGATTTTTTCGCGTCGCTTTTCCTTGCTGTCTTTTCTTCGTGTTTCGATTTTTTAAGCCTTTGTTTTTTGAGAAATATTTTCTTTTTTTATTTGCAGCAAGCGGAAGTGATATGCATCCCGGTGCTTTAATATTTCAGTTTGGCGAATAATGTACGCGGCAAATGATTTGGGAAATGATAACTGCATTTTCAATTTGTTCAGCATGGACTGAAAAAAAGTTGAGATAGGTCGATTAATAAAAACGTTAGGTCTGATTCACTTCAATTAAATAAAAATATATTTTATCAGTATTTGAAATACTCAAATAAAATAAGATGAACAAAAATCAATACACACAGAATTAAATATACTTACGCAAATAACTTACGAACAACAATTATTAAGTATTTAGATCAAGTCCCCTTTAAAAATTGAGTTTATAAATAATCTCTTTTTTATTAAAAACCTAATTAAATTTGGTTCGTTAAGCATGGTCAACACTTCGTGTTTATCTGCTTAGTTTTTTTAATTATTTTAAAAAAGCCATTAAGTACCTTAAATATGGGGGTATTAAACCAAAAGATAAACATGAATATTTCCACTAAAAACTAGTGTTAGATCTCGATCTCGTTAGAGTAATTCCACCGAAATTGCTGTTCTTAACAATGAAGCTCTCACCGCAGTTCCATCTAGCACACCTTTTAAAATGTAAATATAAGTCATTTAATAACAAAACCATTATGTAATCTTCCTGCGCTCATATGTTTTATGGAGCACATCGGCGAGGATATCAAATTGTATCCACAAGTCCAATTTAATTATAAGCCACGCCACGCAAGGCCCATCAAAGTTCCGATCCGATGCAGGTGCAAATGCAGAACCTTCACTGACCAGTCAACGATCTACAGTCTACAGTCTACAGTCTACAGTCGTCAGCGCGAACCGGGCTCATTTTCGGTTCCACATTATTATTATCCACGCTTCGAGTCCGGTTTTTGGTTGGGAATGCCGCCGCTCTACAATTCATTTGCAAAGCGTATCCAAAAATGCTGATGGGATTATTATATGTTGTTGATCTGGGACTGGGGATATGCGACGCGACTGCAGGTGGAATATCTCAATGCCCGGCCAGGTCTTTATCTTTTTAATGCTGTGGATTGCTTTGAGTGTTTTTTTTTTGCTTTTGTTTCTTTTTTCCCTCCACATTTCGGCTTTAAGCCTTAATTTATGTATTAAAAGTTAGAAATCCGTGTGGACAGGTGAATTTTTCGTTGCCTTTTCTCAAGGCTGTCGTTGCAGTAGTGTATAATTTAGTTTAGGTATTGAAGTTGTTCATTAACAATGCGGTGGGATATTAAAGGAACAGGTATGTATGGGGTATTTATCAGAACCATATCATTGATGGGAAGACTGAGCACTGGAGAAGAATCTGAATGAAATCATTTGTCCAGGCAAATTACTTTTAACTCTATAATAGACGTGGTTCGATAGAAATTTTGTATATGCTTCAGATCTAAGAAATGAATTGTTTCTTAATGAATATTTACCCTTTTAAATTCCTTATATATTTCTGACATTATTAAAATTATTAATTTATATATTTAATTTTAAAAGTATATATTTTATTTCAAAACTTCGTTTAAGTAAAATACAGTTAATATGTACCCTGGATTAATTTTCAAAAACTTCCCCTAATCTCTGCACTCTTCGAATCCAAAAAATAATCCCCCTGCGAAAGGTGTAAAAAATATATAAGCGAAAAACTTAATACCCGAAACAAAATAATAGACAAAACCCAGCTCATTGCCATTCATCATAAAAATCAGAATTCGCCCACGGACGGACAGGACATAGAACTCGAAGAATCGGGAAGCAAAGCGTTCGATTGTATGCAAAAACAAAAAAAAATAATGAAAATGGAATCGAATGGAATGGGTTTTTATGGTTTGGCCATGGTTGTGGTGTGGAATGCCGCAGGTGGCCGCCAGCAGTGGGCCTCCGTCGCTCGCTTTTCAAGTGTTTGCCTTTGCAGTTGGACAAATTTACATGCGCGCCTGGCACACAATGAGACGGCGGCCGACCTGTCCAAGTAACCAGGTAGCCGTCGTCCATGTTCCATGCACTCAAAAAAAAGGTGAAAAAAAAATAAACAAATCTATAAAACTTTAAACTATTTAAAACTTAAATTGCTGCTCTTTTTGTGACTACATACATTTTAATTAAATAAACCAATAAAATAAATAAAATTAATTCCATAAAAAATTATAAAGAGAAGAGTGGGGCCAAATCGACCGGTAGTGCAAATTTGAATTCTACAGCTATGTATTAAACAACTATTTTATGCTTTTTGGCGGTACTATCATATTACTCTGAATGGGAAATAGATTAATTTAATACTTCTTATTGTTTTCGAATATTCTTATATAATTATGGTTAGGAAAATACATATAAGTTAATGAAAAATAAATTTATATATATGAGCACTTTTTTAACAAAAATGATGTTTAATTTTGGAAAGTGTTTCAGTTTCATAGGTATTCTCAATAGTGCAATTAATTATGTACAAATGAAATATAAATACATTTTTCATTTTTCATCTCCATTAACAATATCTTAAAATAAAACTTTTTTTGAGTGTATAACTGCAGGTTCATACAGCAGCTACCTGGAATGTCCGACAGTGGAACACACGTCGCTATTCAAATAGGTCGCCGACCAGCTGAAGGCAGCCGACAAATGCAAACGCAAGGGCAAACAGAAACGCATCATTTAAATGATGGAAAATGCAAAAAGGATGCTGGGCCGTGTGATTTCCGCTCTGGACACTGCTTTTTATCCTTTGTGAGTGCGGGAGTGCGTGAAAGGTGTCCGCTCCTTTTGTTCGGTATATATTTTAATTAAATGGACTGAGTCAAGCCCCGTGGGCAGGGGAAATGATATGTAGAATGGATGAGTGCAGAGGCAAATCAATCAATTCCTGCCAAATGCGGTCAAAATGCAATGCTCAATTGAATAAGCCATACAAGAAATGCCAACGAGGGTAAAAAAAAAACAATTACTTTGATGTGGGCAATACAGATTCCAGCGCTGGCTTAAAGTTTAAATGGTTGTGTTTTTAAAAGCTTTTTGATTGGTATAAATTTTCAAATGTCTCTCTGCTATTACCAATTTGTTCTCTAATTGGAGAGTGCGAAGAGATTGACTGTTAATCAAGTGAAACGTTTGGCTAAAAGCCCCAAAAAGTACTTTTAAGGAGGCATGTTAGCTTTACGGATACTCTGAGAATCAAAAAATTTACTTTTAAGATTCCATTTATAATACAGTTTTGCAAATCATTGGCATGATTTATATTTATTTATCTTTTAATGCTACTGTTTGTTATTTGTAAAAAAAACAGCTTTTATTTTGTGTAGTTTTAACAACCCAACAATAATATTGAAAAGAAAAATGTCTTGGAAACGCAAAAAATGTAGTATACTTTTAGGCAAAAAAGATATCAACGTTGGATTTTTTAAATTGAATTTTGTATTGCATACTTTTAAACAACTTTTTAGGTGATTGTTAATTGACAGTATTTAAAACCACCATTAACATATATTTTAAGCATGTTTTAACAAAAATGTTAGCTTCAATAAAAATTGAAATATTTTGAACAAAATTCAACATTTCTCCAACACAACCCTCATGACATAGTCAATACTCCTCAATTTTTGAAAGTGAGCGAGGATAGGTGTCAAAAACTTCGGAAAGCCTGTTATCAACTGCTTCTTGTCAATGCTAAAACTGCATATCCGAAAAGGTCGACCTCCCCAATTGCAGGTTGAGTGCAAAAATTCATTTGCATGCTGGGTAGCACTTCAATTCTGGTGCTAAACTAAAAACGCAAAACGCTCAAAAAAACGACTAACGAGCACCTGTCACCTGTTCCTCAGGTGAGTGGGCGGTGGGCGGGGCTTATTTGCATGGGATTGAAAAGCGCGGAATCAAAGTGTTTGATATGAAAAACAAAACAGAAAAAACAAGCAATTGGCTGTGGATTTTTACCGGCTGCATGTGAGTGCGGGATGTTGGCTAATTAAAAGCGCATCAAAAGCGGGCAGAATTTGCATAGCAAACGAAACGAAACGTTGCGAAAATTAAATAGAAATTGTTAGTTGCACTTTTTCATTTTCACTTCGTCAAAGCTGCCAATGCCAAAAAAGTTTGTCATGAATAGCTGTCGTTAAAGGAGCGGAATTACGGAATTCTGGGCAAAAGGAGCCGCAGCGAATCGCCCAATAAATGTCAGCGGAACAAACTTTGTTGGCCAACTATTTTTATAATTAAACAAACTGATTGTGATAAGTAGGAACATGAAGGCCAAACTTATTGCAAGAGCGGAACTAAAGGTCCGGCCATAAATTGGGCAAACGTCAAAGTTAGCACTACTTGTTCAGCAAGCCCTTGAGACAAGGCAAGCAACAAGAAAACTTAATGATATTAAATACTTTTCACAATTTGCATAGAGCTTGAGGGAGTACTTTAATTTTCCGTACACAGTTTGCTTTCAAAGTAAGAAAAATTGGTCCAAAATTGTCCTAAATAAATATATATATAGATTTTCTCATTCATTGGTATTGCACAAACAAGAACAAGGATGATACACCTTAATAGCATCGACTATTAATTGAAGACGTAATTTGGCTATCAATGAGGTATTAAATATTGAAATTGTTGATTGTTAAGAACAAAAATTTATAAAACTGTTATAGTTCTCGTTCTAAAGCCATTAGATAAATAAACTTATTTTTGGGGAACCTTAACTTCAAGATAAACGACATTATCTAACTTCAATCGAATAAAACCTATTTAATGCTTGTAGTTTAGATACGTTTTACTTTAAAACTAAAACTAAGCTGTTCTATAGATTTGTTGATCTTTTGATTAGGTATTATTACAGTAAACTGACCTTTGATAGACATTAAGAGAGTCTCCTTTGTTTGAGTTGTTTAATTTGGTTGTGTTATATGCAGGTCATTTGGTTTTCAACAAGTAATTAAGGGCTAAAACTAGGCTATTCCGTGGACTTGGCGGTACTGGCCGCCGCAGCCGCCTTCGCCTGGGAGGCGTGGTGCTTGGCCACCGCCTCCTGCGCCTTGCTCAACTGAATGTATCCTTCGTGGGCGCGGGATCGCAGTTCGCTCTCCACGCTTTTGTTGACCGACTTCGAGATGACGGATTTGATCTTCTGGGTCTCATTGAACTTGGCCTTTTTCGCCTGAATGGGGGCATCTATTGAACGCAATTCATAAGTTAGTTATAGATCGACAGGACAACTTGTTGATACTCACTAGAACGCCGGGTAAAAGCAGCCTGTTTCTGTTTTTTCTGTTTCTGTACAGCTGCAGGCAGCTTTGCCTTCTTGAATTTTCCCTGGGGCATCTTTACTATCCTTTATTTATCAGAAAAAAACTGGGAAAATATTTAATTCCGCAGCACGTTGTTTTGGTTTTCTGTTTAGTGTGACCTTAAGCCGATAATTTCTATCGATTGCGTACCTATCGGTTTTAGGGAGCTGCCAACCTCTTAAATTCGTGACTTGGCGCCATTTTCAAAAAATGTATTTGGTTTGTTCGGTTTATATTTATTTTCGATTGCTGGCTCACTTATTTTGTAACTTGAATTATTTAACATATATTTTGGGGAATTCCTGCAATCAATTTCAGAAATCCCTTTTACGCTTGCTTTAAACTAAACACAAAAATTTCACATTTAATGCAAAACTTAAATTGTTCGCGATAATCGTTTTAACAAGAAATCATTAACATTTAAAAGCGCTGAATATTGTTTATATGCAAGTTAAGTGGGATTCAGTATCCTATTTACGTATGTATATATATATATATATTTATAAATATGGTATTTGTTTATTTTTTTTGTTAGCTTTTCCTCTACAATCTTGTTGTCTTTGCTCACTTGGTGATTAAACAGAGTTTTCAACGATCGAATATTTTGTTTCTTATAAAAATCGTTTTACAAAATTCTATGCATGTGTGGGTGTGTGTGTGTGTATGTTTGCGTGTGTTTGAATGTGGGTATACAAATAAAACAATTAACTGTTCAGTTTGGCAACGATAACGCCAGTCACGATTAAACCTATTATCACAGCGATCACCAGGAGTATCAAGATCTTGCGCCGGTAGCTCTGGCGACTCCTGGCCGCCTTTTCCAGCTGCGAGGTGCCATCTTCCACGTTGGCGGCCGTCTGCTCAATACTGTTTTCAATGAAATCTACCGAAAAATAAGGAATTGTTTAGAAAAATCAAATAATTTAGATTACATTATGACAAATATCACTTAACTAAAGGCAATTCTAATAGTTTACTTGCAAGTCCCAAAAGCTATTACTCATTTATATATTTTTGCAAAGGTAAATAAAAAATTTAACAAATATTTCTTCGCATATAGTGGTTATCAATCTCTCCTTATTTTTGTAACAATCGATTTAATTATTAAGCGCTTTGAGTGCAAAAAAGTTCAAGAGTATTATACACAGGAAACAAAATTTAGTAATGACAATGATATGATAAGGGTAGTGACACATTAGTTGAAAAACGATACTGATTTTTATTACAACTTAATATTAATCTCAATAACTGTTTGATAAAAAACTAAAACCCTTTTACATTTTTGTTGCCTACCACAAGAAACTCGTAAAGTGAGAACCCTAATTACGGATTGTGGTTGGATAACTTATGGTTTCTTGGTTCCACATCTTATTGGAGGTCTACTCACCCATCTGCTGGCCCTGATCATGAACCAACCCACTCAGCCGGGTCATGATCTGGTTGACATCGATGATGTCCGACTCGATCTGCTCGACCTGTCGCCGCCGCTCGTCGAGGATGTCGTGCTCCTGCTGGAGATGTGCCTGCTCCAAACGCTGCTGCTGCAGCAGCTCGGCGCGGGCGTTGGGCTCCCCATCCTGGTCGGCAAACTGCTGGGCCTGCTGAAGGGTCTGCCGCATGGCCGACGAGATGCGACGCTGCAGATTGGAGTACTTTTCGACCACGCCATGGAACTCCCTGGTGAGCTTCTCCAGCTGCAGTTTCTGCTGGCGATCGCCGTGCCGCACGACAGCCTGTAGCCTCTGCAGATCCTGGCTGGTGGTCTGCACCCGGGCATTGCACTTGGTGTTGATCGTGTGCACTTTCTCCCGCAGATTGGGCAGCTCCTTGGGCGTGCCAATTAGCTTGAGTTGCTTCTCCAGCTGCTTAGTGCTGCTGTGGATCGCAGTGATGTTGTGGCCAATGTCCTCGCTGAGGGACATGAATTCCGTGGGACTGAAGCCGGACGATCCGCCAGCAGCTGCGAAACTCACTTCGGGCGTGGACTCCGCCATGGCTCCATAGTCCCGATGGGGGCCACCGCCACCGCCTCCTCCTCCTGCTCCACCCCCTCCTCCTGCTGGGTTGTTCAAGGCCTGGGACATATCTGTAAGTTCATATCTCTGTGAATTCTGAGTTCAAAGCACGGGGCTTGAAAAATAGGCCGACATTTAATACCACTTCTCGAGCAAACAGACAAATCCCTACAAATGATTCATTGTTGTTGTTATCAACATATGATGTTTGCCTGTGTGGGGGAGTGTCGGTGTATCGGTGTGTCGCCGCATCGGTGTGTTGGTGGGGCAACATTTACGTGTTTTCTCCTTCGCATATGATTTGCTTTTGGGGGGCGGGGGTTCTTGTAGGGCTTCTGCCTGAAACCTGGATTACCTGGTACTTACTTCAAAGCGAGTTCTTTTCCGTGGACGCACAATGTCAGCGCACAAAGCCTTTCACCACAAAAAATACAATGATAATTCTGCAGCAGCAGCAGCAGCGCTAGAGATGGAAAAACTTCGATGGCACCATCGGTTAGGTTGTTCAAAACATCGATATTTTCATTGTTATTGAAAGTATTACAACCGAGGTGGTTTTTGTTATTCCCCTTCCACTAACTAGCCCCGCTTAACGCATTGCATTATAATTTTAACAAAACTAAACAATAAATTCTTTTCTATACGCTTACAAATAATAAATAAATAAAAAAATTCTTTTCTCTACGCTTACGAATAATATTCAACAGAAAACAATTTAAAAATTATGTTGAAGGGCGGTTTTATCGAGCTATCGATGATTAGGCGCCAACTTCAGCCCCAGTACACCACATGGGGGTTAAATTGAACAACTGGATTTAATTAGGCTCTTTTTATAAAATTTACTTTTAACACAACCTAACGTTTTACTTTTGTGTAATGTTCAAAATGTTTAGTAAAATACTATTGCAAAAAAAAAATTGATAAATTTAAGTTAACCTTCAAACACTGGCAAATATTAAAGAAACACAAGAAAAACCTATTTTTTCACTAATTTGTACATATTTTTATAACATTATCAACAATTTCCGTTGAATTTAATCTATTTTACGTCCACATTCTGGGAAAAGCCATATTTGAAACCTCGTGGCGGCTGTAACCGATTTTTGTATGCCACATGGAAATCGCATTCCTTGGTTTTGTTTATCACTTTAGATATTTGAACTCAATTTCACATATTTGTAAAATTAAACTTGTAATCCACATGGGGGATTAATTGTCCTACACAAATTCACATATAAACTGAGAGTCACAGAATCTTTACCTAATATATTATTATTATAGTGTCACTTTAAGCATTTCTTTGAAGAAGTTACCAGAACTAAACTTTTGTCCACTCAAATGTTACCTTTTAAATCTTAGTCCCAGTGACATGGAAAAGAAAACACGTTCGTTACGTTCTTGGCTTGTAATTCCGTAGCTTAACGTACAGAGTGTTATGCTAAAAGGTAAAAATCCTTAAACTCCTGGTTCTTAGTGGGTCTTGGCGGCCAGACGCTTGTCGCGCTCCTCCGAGATGCTCAGCTTGACACCCTTGCCCTTGGGCAGGGAGATGTAGGGCTTGTTGCCCTTGCCAATGATGAACACGTTGGTCAAACGAGTGGCGAACACATGGCCCTGGGAGTCCTTAATGTGCACAATGTCGAAGGATCCGGGGTGACGCTCGCGGTTGACAACGGTGCCGACACGTCCCAAATTCCTGCCTCCGGTGATCATGCAGAGGTTGCCTGGGGATCAAAAGTAATTTGGTTAGTTGCAAATCTATTGGAGTATCTTAGACGACTGTCATTGCACGTAAAAGTTGCTGAAACGTCTGTGTAATGGCGAATCAGAGACCGTCGTGACAAAAATTGCTATTGGCTTTTTTTGTATTTGAACCACGCAACTTTGATATAAACATTTTGTGGTCTTCGAAACAGCCAAGTGTATTCGTTTGTGGGGATAGTAGATAGTGGTAGTCTTCTGCTTACCGGAATCGAACTTGATGTAGTCGGTGATCTTGCCAGAGGCAATGTCCACCTGCACGGTGTCGTTGGCGTGGATCAGGGGATCCGGGTAGCGGATGGTGCGACCGTCGTGTGTGACCAGGAATGGAACTCCCTTGGCGCCCAGCTGGTTCTTCTTGACCTTGCACAGCTTGTACTGCAAGAGAGAATAACAATTGTTAGTTTTTACTTCGATTTGGGTATCATTTATATTTGTAATTGCACGTAAAAGTTACTGAAGTGACTAAAATGCCGAAACCAGTGACCGTCGTAACAAAAATTGCTTTGGGCTTCGTTTTGAACCAAATTTACACATGGCATAATGTGAAAAACGGTCTTCGACCAAGCCAACACATAGATATTCTCCGGTTGTCACTATTCTTCAACTATTATTTAGATTCACTTTGTAATTGCACGTAAAAGTTACTGAATTGACTGTGTTCTATTAAATCAGAGACCGTCGTATCAAAAATTGCTTTGGGCTTCGTTTTGAACCAATTGACGCACTATCAGAAACGCAAAACGGTCTTCGACAAAGCCCTTTCAGATTTAAATTACTTTACAATATATTGAATAGATAATTATAAAGCTTATTTATGGGATTTGAACTGGTGTAAGTTACAGCTTACAAAAAAAACCCAGATACAAAATGGTTAAATCAAAGCTCACTTGCAAAACTAATGCTTTTAAATCATAGGTTTTACTAAATTGTACATTCTCAAAGTGAAAACCGGAAACACTAGGTGTTACTTTTCTCGGAGGGATTGATAACTAACCTTGGCCTCCTCGGCGGAGATGCGGTGGATGGTGAAGCGTCCCTTCACGTCGTAGACCAGACGGAAGAACTCACCGGTCTTCTCGAGGGTGATGACATCTAAAAAAGGGTTAAGAGGAGAGCATTAGCGTGACAGATCCTAGGGAATCCTATAGAGAACTTACCCATGAAGCCAGCGGGGTAGGTGGGGTCGGTGCGGACCTTGCCGTCGACCTTCACCAAGCGCTGCATGACGATCTTGGTGACCTCGGCGCCATTGAGGGCGTACTTCAAGCGGTTTCTCAAGAAGATCAGCAGGGGCAGCGACTCGCGCAGCTTGTGTGGGCCGGTCGATGGACGGGGGGCGAAGACTCCTCCCAGCTTGTCCAACATCCATGCCTTGGGAGCGGCTAAGCGCTTCAAATGCTTCTTGGGGCCACGCGCCTGCAAATTAAGTTGGTTTTAGTTGTGTGTGTGTGTGTGTGTGTGTGTGTTCTCCCTTCCACTAAATCACAAGATTCCCGTTGCAGAAATGCCAAACGTTCAGCAATTGCAGTGGAAAACCTTTCGCTCGAGAAACTCACCATGTTTGATTCACTTTATTGTACGGGCGATCACTGCAAATGGAAGAATCAAACTTTTAGTTCTATGTAAACATTCGGGGCGCCACCGCAAAAAGCCGCATCAGTTAACTGGAAAATCTCCAATAATTGGCCTTCAAATAACGCCACTGATATGTTTTCCATTTAGTCCGTTGCCCGTTTCCATCGGCATCGCACAATAACAAACGCCGATGGTCATAATATAATATGATGAAAATTACACGTACCGTCCGTCAAGAAATACAACAGGAAAAGGAAGTGTTTTTCAAAGAGGTGGTACAAATGCCAACATCGGAGCCATCGATAGTTTTAGAGTATCGCGCTTACCGATGTTTACCCATCTCTATCGATTATTGAGTCAGTTGGGGTATTCCTCAAACGTTTGAGTCCCTGAATTGCAGAAATTCGGTCAGCTGTTCCAAACAAATTCAACTGGCTGAAATTTAGATGTGAAATTTAGCGTCGGTGAACTATGGCCTAGTCCCACAGATGTGCCATATCTTTCAGAGATGGTCCATAAGTTTTTGCCGTTCCAAAAACGTCCCAGTTAGTCCGCCGTTAAAATTTGACGAACTTCGACGGACTAATTAATGCGATAGTTAGCCGATGTTTCTGCGGTGCAACCCTCTTTCGACGCAGTACACGCAGTGACGTTTTTAGAAAAAATACCGGAAAATACCAATTGTTGACGATTTTTCGTCATTGCCCCCACTAAAAGTTTGTTTTTTATAGGCAAGGAAAACTCAATTTTTGATTGTTTTTGAAAAAAAAATATTGTTTTCATAAAAACGACAAAAGCAACCCCAACAAGGGTTACTTCTGGTCCTAAGGGAAGAAAAAATCCCACATATACGGGAGTTTTAAATCTTCTCGATAAACTGTGACTTAGGAAAATCACGTAAGTATAACTAGGCAACGAGCAAATGAACCGAGAACATATATTAAATATTGTTTGGGCTTTCGAAGCAATTTAACGGGACAGATAGTCGCAAATGCAACTGTTTACAGGTCAAATTTAATTTCAAATTCAAAAAGCCAGCCTTAGCTCTCAATACAATTCCAGAAAACAATTCAAGGAGAGGAATACCCCAACTCCATTTTAAATCTTTTTATTTGGTCACACCAAAAAAACATACTACTTTTAGCACGGCTGCATTGTTCGCCAATAATCGAAGAAAAAACGCATTAGTTATCGAACTTTGAAAATATCAGTTCTAGTTTTTGGTAATTTTACAATTGTGTTTATTTTATCTTTAGTTAATGCCCCTCAAACACACAATTCGCGCTTTAGGCATTATTAATTACAATCTGTAAAACCTACTTATAAATTAAACTGCGGCAACAATACAATTTGCCAAACGGATTTATGCTTGTTTATGTGTCCTTGCTTTGTTTTATGTTTAATGTTTTGAAATTATGCATTTAAAACCACTGGGGGCTAAATAGTTATAATGGTTAATTCAGATTTTCATTATTTTTTTGTACATAATACAAACTGTATTCATTCGCTTAATGTTGGCTCGCTAATTTAGTCGCTACTGTTTTTTTGTTTAGGCGAAATAACTTATCGTTATGTGAAATACATTTTAAGAAATACAATGTATGCAATTAATGAATGTTTAGTTGGTTTAAATGTATATTTCTATTTTAATGGCTACGTACGTCTGTCTGTGAGGGCGAGCGATTCACAATGGGGGCATGAGTAGTGGATGGTCAGTGTGTTGGGAGTGGATTTGGTTTGGATTTGGGGCAATCATTCTCGCACAAAGTCTGTAGAGTCGTTCAGTCCAGCTTCTTCATGGATTTGAGGGCTCGTTCCCGCAGCTGCTTCTCGAGGTCCTCGTTGATGACGCCCGGACCGGAAGCGCCCGCCAGCAGAAGCGGCATTTTGCCCGTGTTACCGTTTCGCTTGGCAGCCGCTCCAGAGACTGGTTGCTCCTCCTCGTCACTGCTGCCCTGGGAACTGCTGTCCGCCCGCGACTTGCCGCCACTGGCCTTCCGCTTGTGCTTCTTATGCTTCTTGCTCTTCTTGCTGTGCTTCTTGTGTTTCTTATGCTTCTTGCGCTTGGAGGAGGCCTCTGAATCGCTGTCGCTGGACTCGACCGCCTTCTTGGCCTTCTTGCGCTTCTTCTTGGGCAAATGGTCGTCCTCGGAGTCGCTGTTCCCGTTGCCGGCCGCCTCCCCGCCCTCGTCCCGTCGCGTCTTCTTGTGACTACGCTTGCGGCTGCTCGTGGACGCCTCATCGCCGCTGGACGTGGCCCCACGCTTATGCTTCTTGTCCGAACGCCGCTTGTCCTTGTCCTTATCCTTCTCCTTTTCCCGCTCCTTTTCCTTCTCCTTGAGGGCCGCCGCCGCCGCCGCCTCCTTCTCCTTTTCCTTCTGCAGCTGCAGCTTCTTCTTGAGCCGCTCATCTCCGCTCGAGTTGTCCTCGTCGTCGCTCTGTTCGCTGCTGCTCGAGCTCTCCGAGCTGCGTCGCGCCTTGTCCTTCGCCTTCGCCTTGCCCTTGGCCGCCTCCACATTGGGCTGGTGCTTCTTGCGGCGCGGCGGCTGCTCCTCGCTGTCATCACTGTCCGCACTGCTGTCCGAGCTGCTGCTCTGGCTCTGGTCGCGGGATTTCTTTGGTGCCGCCGCCGTCGCCGCCGCCGCCGCCGCCGCCTTGGCTGCGAGCCGCTCGTGGGGCTTAAGGAACGGAGAGGGCGTGCGGGACAGGCTGGCGTAGCCAGTGCGCACGACTGGAGGAACCTCGTCCAGCACTATGATGGTTTCTGGCTTGGCTTTGCGCTGCTGCTCCTCGCGGCAGAGATCGATGGTGTTCAGTGGCGGGCCAGTGAACTCAACAGAGGAGCGTCCTAAAAGAAATGAAAGAGGGTAAGTGCCCGTTTAAAGGGTGCCCTTCTTCTTTAACACTCACCAACTGGGCTCTCCCGTTTGCGACTTCGCCGGGGACTAGAGCGACTGCGGCTTCTCTGGCGACTCTGGCTGCGACTGCGGCTGCGTCCGCGCTTCTCCGGCGGACTGGGGCTGCGCTGTCGCTGCTGGCGTCCACCGGCCGGTTCCACCGAGCTGCCCGACGACGAACGTCGATTCCTGGCGGGTGGCGGATTGTCCCACCGATTCATGTGACCGCCACCGGGTGAACTGCGCCTCTCCCTCGAGTTGGGGCGGCGATCTCGCGAGTTTCGACGTTGCTGGGGCGAGGAGAAACGACGTCCCGGTCCCGGATGCGGCGAGAATTGCTTGCGGAAGGGCTGACCCTGCTGCATGGGCGACTGGCGGTGATCGCGATTATAGCGATTCTGCTGCGGCGACTGGCGTCTGTCGAAGCGTCCCATTCCACCGCCGCCACCGCCACCGCGTCCTCCGCCGCCAGGACTGTGCCTGGCCTGCCAGTGGATGCGGCCGCCACCGCGGAAGTTGGGCGATCCACCGCGGTGCTGCCACATCTGGCGATGTCCGCCGCCGCGTCCGCCACCGCGACCGCCGCCTCTGAAGTTCATCATGGGCGAGCGACGACGATTGTTGAAGTTTCTTAAAGTGGCGGGTAAATATAATCAGTTTTATAAAAGCAATCAAGAGTGAAAATCTACTAACCGTCTTGGAGAACGAGAGTACCGCATGGGCGAGCGGGAAAGTCGTCGAGATCTGGAGCGGCGACGCGAATTGGATCGCTGGAAGCGATTCCCACCGCCTCCGCCTCCATTATCCTGCCGCATGGGACTGCGTCCTCTTGGCGAGAAGCGCCTGCCGCCGCGACGACCGCCTCCACCGCCGCCAAACTGTCTGCCTCGATCATTGCCGCGCTCCATGGAACTGGCCGAATCTCCCCGATTGTTGCGATACTGCCGTTTGTTTTGCACACTGTTCTTGTTGCGCCGATGCTCAAAGTTATCCTGATTGCGCTCCGGCGACAGCGAGATGCTGCTGGAGCGTCCACGCCGGCGACTGCGTCGCGAGGAGCTGCGCGAACGCGACCGCTTGGGGCTTCCCGAACGGGAGCGGCTGCGCGGCGACCGGGAACGAGACCGCGAACGCGACTTGCCCTTGGACGCCGCCGCCGGATGAGGCGACTTGTCCGCCGAGTGGCGGCCGTTGACAGTCTTGGCGGGTGCGGGCTCCACGGAGCCCGCCTTCTTGCCGGAGGTTCGGGAGCGGGAACGCTGGGGAGAACGCGAACGTGGCCGCCGGCTGGAGCGGCGCTCCCTGGAGGCGGGTCGGGCGGCCGAGGAGGAGCCACGCTTCCGGATTCGGGCCGCAGCATTGGCGGCCGCTTCTCGAGCGGCACTGGGCACCGAACCGTTGTTGTTGGCCGGCTTAACCGAGCGGGATCTTGATCTCGACTTGGATTTGGAGCGGTCACGCTGCCGATCTCGCCTAGAGCTGGCACGCTGGGAGCGGGAACGCGAGCGGGAGCGCGATCTGTCCCGCTGCCGTTGCTCCTCCTCCCGCTTGAGTATCTCGTCCTTCTTCTGCTGGATGAACTCCGCCGGTATCCCCGAATCACTCTCCTGGGCGGACAGCAGCAAGGCCCACAGCTCGCCCATGAACTGGCGGGCATTCCTGCCGTTTAGGAAACCCGTCATGTTGATCTGCATCTTCTTGGGGCACGGGTACTTCTCCTCCTCCAGCTGATTGTATACAAACTCCACGACAACATCATCCTCGATGTGCAGGATGTCGGTGATCTTCTTGCTGATCCAGGGACGCAGTACGTCCAGTTTCACCTTGGACATGTCCACCCGCTTGTTCAGGCAGTCGCCGAACTTCATTTGCTTCATCAGCTTCTTCTCCTTGTCGCTGAACCGGGTGTCCTGCTGCTGGTTGGTGCCCTATGGGTTTTTTGGGGGGGAAAAAACAGGATATTTTGCAGGATGTGCCAAGAAAAAAATAAAACAGAAGGAATATGTGATGAGGAAAACCATTTATCGATTGGTTTTAGCGGGGGGGCTGCACCGTTTGGCTTACCGTGAACATCATTTTGTGTGAGATTTATTTGTCTCCTGCGGGTATTTCGGATACACTGCCGCCAATTTGTGGCCCCTGTTTTTAGGCCAGGCGCATTTGTTTATTGCGAGGCACGAAATTCAATAAAATTTCAATATAAATATATGTAACCCGGCACCACGCAAGTCGATTACACACACACTCGCGCAGCGTCTTTTCGCCGTCTGTGTATGTGTGATGGCCGGGGATGCGGATGCTTTTTACTCCAATTAACACGATATCTGCAGCGTATGTTATCGCGGTATTCAGTCTCTTGCACCTGTCACCGTCGTTGAACACCTTTTAAGACACCTTATTGCGCCAGTTTCCCTACACTTTTTCTTCGCAAAATAAAAAATATCTTCGTGAAAACGGTCTGCGCCAGCGATGGCAGCAGCGGCCCAATTCACGAGTAATCGGCACGAGCGCGAAACTATCGAGTGCATGTATCGGTGCTTGTCTGGCAACGCCAAGCCACCGTTGCACATTGGGTGGCATCACTCTTATTGCTTTTGAATGCAATCGTTACAACTTAAGTTTGGTCTTATTGGGTAAATGGAAAACTGAGATATTACACTTATAGAATTCTGTCCTAATTAAAAATGTTTTGTTTTCCTAAGTACCCAACCCAATTTTTTCATAAATTCAGTTGCCAAAAAGTTTGTGGGATTTGAAATTGTTACTCACATTTCTTTGATTTTGAAAAGTTATGGCTGTGTTTTTCTTGGTATAGAAGTTACAAATATCTAAATAGGTTGCCATTTTGTAAATGGTTTAACATTCCTTAATTAAGTGAATAATTGTAAAATTCCGAAGACAAATTTATTTAAAGCAAATTGAAGAGCAATTGAAATTACATCAATGACAATGAAATGCCGGATAAGTAGTTTTTATGAATAAATGACTTGTTAACTTAAAAAGCTAAATAAATATTATGCTGGCAAACCAATAATAAAAATAACACAATTTCCAATACCTTTAATAAAACAAATCCATTCACATTTCGAAACGAATGCTTTTATTTTGCATTTTCAAATGCCGTAATTAGGGGTTCTAATAAATACACACTACAAATGCACGGAGGCATTAATTCAATTTTGTTTAAATTTAGTCTTAACATTAGAATTTGATTATTTTTCGAGCAAAATTGCATTTCAATTTTATACAGCTGACAGGGATGAAAGGAGAATGAGAGATGGGGAAAACATTAAATAACATTGCAAAATTGATTTCGCTACAAAAAATAATTCCTCTTTTTAAGTACACATTAATTTAGCCAGCCAGCCAGTTCAGACCAGCTCCGTTCCGTTCCGTTCCGCTCCGACCCAAAACTCGCTCAGTTCTTTTGGTTGCTGTTGGTGTTGGTGTTCCTGGTGGTTACCGCCTCCTCCTCCTGCTCCTCCTAAGGTATCATATTGGGCTCCTGGGCGGCGCCCGTCGAGTACTTGGGCTTGCAGACGCATCCGCTCTCCACCAGCACGTAATCCTGGCCAGTCAGCGTCACCGGACCGAGAGGAATGACCAGGAACAGGTAGGGCACATAGGTTTGCGTACACTCGCCCCGGACCACATCGCACTCAGAAGATCTGGAAGAGATTAGCAAAATTTCCACTTGAAAACAGAAGTATTTTTACATTTTCCCAATATAATATTAAACTTAAAAAAGGTTTTTACTAAAATATGTATATTTTTTGTGGGGAAACAATGATATAATTATAAAAATTGTATTTATGTTTGGACATTAATGGAAGTGTAGGATTGTTAAACGTTTTCAAAGTTTGTGGCCATTGTTGTTGAATAAATATTGAATAATTATTTATTTAATTATTTAATAGCTATGCCCTTTATGTATCTAAAAAAGTTTAGTTCTTATCTATTTATTAAATATTAAATATTTCAAAGTACAAAAAAAGACTTTCTTAAAACACTTTCAAAGTAGTTCAAGTTGCTCAGATTCAGTACGTTATTATGTTATTTATTGTATAAACAATATAATTAAGTGATGGAAATGATATTTAATTAAAATAGAATATGAAGACTAAACTTCATTTAATTTTAATTTTAATACTAATATTTAATTAAAAATTCCTCTACCAAATCGATTCAAAGTCGGCTTACATTAAGATGTAGAAAAAGTACCAAGTGATCTCTGAGTTCCTAGGGTTTACTTACTCGCACACTTCGAAGACCACCTGCTGGAGGAGATCGGGGAACTTCTGGACGATGGTCACCGGCTGTCCGGAGGTCAGGCTGACCCCGTACATGGGCGCCGTGGTGTTGTAGCGGGTTTTGCAGAGTCGCGCCGGCGTCTCACTTTTGCACTGCTGCGCCGGGGTGGCGTTCTTCAGCGATCGACCTGCGATGAGATGAGATGGGATCAGGTGAGATCAATCAATCAATCATCGAATCATCAGTCAATCAATCAATCAATCAGTGATGCGGTGACCGACTTACCATAGCGACTGCTTCCGACGGCCTCGTTATTCACCTCGTCGTAGGCCCTCAACAGAGCACTGGTGGTTATGGCGGGGTCCAGTGTGCTGGGCAATTTGCTCTGGCGGCCACGTCGCGAGTTTCCGTTCCAGTTGGAGAATGTGCGCGCCACCGCCGCGCTGCAGAGATTCCAATTAGGGGGTTACGGGCGTTAGAAAAGAAAGTTACTGACCACTGACCACTAAACCCCCCCGCCCCCATGACTCACCTTGGATATGGCGCATTATTGGGCCCCAGGCAGTCCAGTGAGTCCGTGAGCGCATCGCCGGATAGGTACTTCAGGCCACGCCCACCACTGCAGCGACTGGGGGGCGCATCGTCACTACTATAACTTGGCCACAATGCCGCATTTGCGCAGGTGAGTGCGATGCTGATGACGCAGAGAGCCGTTAAGTGCTGCAAGATACGAATAATACGGAAATATGGGTTATCAAACGGTCTGGAAAAATTATTCACAAGTCTTATGCAGTTAGATTAAGAGGACAATTAAAGATTTATGTTGCACAAATTTATTTAAGATATAATTAGGAAAATGTTTTTGTAGTAAACTATATTTTTTTATGTCAATTTTTTAAAATGTTAAACAAATATATAAAAACTGAGGAATTTTACAAAAGATCAACACTTTTTATTTAATATGACTGTATGGAATATCAATATTGCAAATATAAATATAAACAGTAAGGCTGGAGCTCCATCGAAAATTTAGAAATACCTTTTTAATGAAATATAATAATAAATAAATATTTTCCTTGTTAATGTTTCAATAAATTGACCAACTTCATTGGAAAGTAATGAGGAAGGAAATAAGCACTCCTACATTAAATGACACATCCAGAAAATATCTCAATATCGAAATAAAAGTGAATAGATAGCTTGTCGTCATTTTCTTTTCCACTTTCTATATCATTTCGAATACATTTCACGAACAAATAACAAAACTGACTTTTGAGTCCGAGTCATAATAGATTATGTAACTGGAAAAATTTCAAATCAACGTAGCACAAACTACCATTTGAAATATGGTTAACTTTCGACTTGTATTAAGCAAATTGAAATACAAGATAATATAAGAAAAGAATTTTATTAAATTTCTTGAATTGAATCCAACCATTTTTCAGGATTTATAACTACTTTTCGACTTATGGTCAATGCAAAAATATTCGTAACGGTCTTAGAATAAAATGTTGTATGGTCTTTGTTACTATCATATCTTTAGGCCCGTGGTCGAGGGAAGTGCTGTGTCATGCAGAAAAGCCAACTGGACTGGTCTGTACTGGTGTTCCGTAAGAGTTGTAACGTTTTTTATGGCCTGTCGTTGAACCGCTGACCCTGACCATGGCCCCTGGTACTTTTCTAGCATCTGGCTGTGGCCGGGGACTCCACTGGGTTCTGGGAAAAGGCTTAAAAGTACGCCAATGGAGACGAGAGTTACAAGGGTTTGGAGCCGATGAAAAGTTTCTAATTTCACATACATACATATGTATGTACGTAGCTACATACTTGACCCGCTTAGCCCCGAAATCCATAAACAAATTAATTAAGCTCATAAATAACCATATCGCGGGGCATCGCACGTGAAAGTAAAAACGGAGAAGAAACCCACATTGAGTAGAAATGTTTATACACACAGCATTTTTCAGATGGCTGGCATGCAAAGCTGACTCTGACTTCTAATATGGTCTGAACTTTTTATTGCCTCTTCTTGCGGTTTTTATTTAGCCGCTCGCATGTATTTTCTTTCACTTTCTCCGTGCAGATTTGGCTGCTGATCAAGTGCCCGCCAAGCCAAAAAAACCCGTTTCGATTGAATTAAAATTGCAGCACAAAATCTGCCAACTTTTTTTTTTATTTTCAACTTATTTTCAACTTACTATTTGACTTTCTGCTGAGAAAACCGCTGCACGTACGGACATGCGAGGCGATAATCGCAGCGTTTCTTGCAGCCTTTTGTCCGACTGTCGATGGCAAATACCGCAAATATTTCTTAATTGATATAAATAATTTCTTTGTGCTATTATTGTTCGGTTCGCACATTTGGTAAGTTTGTTAGCCAACTTTCTTTTCAGTTAGACATTTGACAACAAAAACAAAAAAGGAAAATAATACGATGGGGCCATAATGGTCATTGCGTGTGCGCTGTGCTGCTGGGAAAAAACGAAAGCGAAATTCTATTATTTAATTCTTTTCACATTCATTACACGAATTTAATGAGTCTGGTGGGAGCGGGGTAAGGCCGGTACACACGTGCAGACCAGACCAGTATTCCGAGCTTGATAGTGCAACGATGGCCACTCTCACCGTGCCTTTTGTCGAATTCTTTTGTGGCTCATTAAACGCGCTTTTCTCGGCATTGTCATTTCATTTCGTTGTTGGTCTGGTTGGTCCGACTTTCCGTTTTTATGACTCTTCAGCAATTTCGTTTAATAAATGCTCGCTGTGCGGTGCTGTCCCCTCTTAATTCGACTTTAAAGCAGACGGGACGGACCCCTGGGACCCAGAGAAGCCATTGCCATTTGAACCTGTCACAAGACGTATTTCTACCTAGTAATTGCCGTCTTGATTGGGCCTTCGTCGCCTCATTAGGCGACTTTCTTAGGTCTGCGAGGGTTCATTCAAGTGATTGCGGCATGACTGTACCGAATGCAAATAATTTCGAATAATTGGGGTTTTTGGAAATCGGCAATTCACGAATTAATCAAAAACCCATTGACAATACGTTGACAATTTCAGTTTGCCCCATCATTAGGCTTACATAACAAAAACAAAAAAACAACAACAACAAAGTTGCACTTGATTTGTCTATGCTTTGCTTTTTTAACGCTTTGCTCGCGAGCAAAAGAGACCGCGAAACTAAGCCGGGCTATAAAGAATTAGAGATGGGAACGTGCTTACGTATTGTAAGATTAGAAAAATGTAGAAATAACAATAACATAATTAAAGTCATAGTAAAAAACCAGACTTACACTTCCGGGAGCAATATATAAATCAAACATTTTATTTTCGTTTTTTTAAATTTTTTTTTGGTAATACGCGTATGCACGACTATCGTGTTCGAATCACGAATAAAAGCCCGGCTTAAGCTCATCTCTAGAAAGAACCGAAGGCAGAGAGACAGAGCAACAACAGCAACAAACGGCAAAAAGAGACAAAGCGACGAGCAAAACTGTCAAGAGCAGCGGATTCGTTGGTGGATCAGGTGCCGTTATAACGAGGTTAACGACCTACATCTCCTTCTCTTTCCATCTCTATTCCTCTCTCTTTATCTCACTGGCATAAACAAACATTGGCGTTTAATAACAAATGAAATTATATTCTAACAGCTCAGCTGCTCGGGTGAAAATTGGAAAAATCGGGAAAGCATGGCAATGTCGACAGATTATTGACAGCTCACAAATAGCCGCCAGTGACTGTGACTTTGACTTCGAATTCGATTGCGACCGTTGCACGCGATCACACAGAAAAAAATGTAAGAGACATGTTGATATTTGTTAAACATTTTGAACCAGATTTGAAGATTAACAAATTGCATAAATTCAGTAAAAATGTGTATCTTTTCTATCAGACAGAACATAAAAAAGATACAAACAATATAAAAAATTCATCTGTATCTGGTCCACATCGAACAGATTATTTTACCTGTGTGGGAACTGGTTTGTTGATAAGCGTAGCCCACAGCCTCGGGAATTCCCCTCGGCCAACGTGAACCCCCCTCTTTGACACATTCTCAATGGATGTCAGTGATAATGCATTGTGATTGAATCGAATCGAGAGAGAATTGTGCTTGGCCATTGGCTTTGCTTGACTGACACAATTTCCCAAAGGCTTTTGTTCGACGATTGTGGATCAGTTGGTCAGGAAAAGCCGATGAAAAGCAAAGGCCAATTGTTTGGGACAGGCTGTCAACACGTTGTATGTCGAAGTGCTGGTAAAAATAGATGGTGAATAGAGTTTCGGCTTAAAATCGTTCAAAATTACTGACAATTTGTCATTTTGGCTCCAAGTTGCTCATACCTTTGGTTAGTTTTAACTGTTTCCAAAAGGCTAATATGTTTAAAAACCCAAGGCATTTAATTATGTATTTTTTAACTAAGTCTATTCCGAAAATATTTAAAGTTTAATTCAGAACATCACATAGTATTCAAATGATCAATTATTCGTACAAAAATGATTTAAAGTTTCAATTCAAACCAGTATCCCTTTTCTAGTAAAATATAATCATGATTTAGAGAAACAAGTAATAATTGTTTATTCTTCTGAGAAATATGTTCATTTTTTATTTCCAAGGCAAAATGACATCCCACGTTTTAATCAACAGTTGTTTATCGGTTCAGAATATGCTACTTATTATCACCCCTGGAACCTGCTGTTTCTATTTATCGATCAATTACATATCGACAAAAAACAGTTTGTGTATGCAACGCAACTCTGGAGATGTTTTCTGTTCCCAGTTCTCAGCACCGTTGCGCACTAGACCGTTGTTTTACGTTGTATTTTCCATTATTTTCTTCGTTCCGCGACAAACAACAAAGCTCGATGCCGTGATAACCCCGAAGCGACAAAACTTTCAATGGGATTTTTTTTCCCCCCAGAAAGAAGCAGAAGCAGCCGCCGCTATGCAGATCACGTTTTCCCAGACCCAGACCCATACCCAGACCACAAGAAGCTAGAGCGAGACAAGTGCAATGGACCTGGCTTATTTCGCCTTCGGGCTATTTCGCCGCCCCTTTCACTCCCCCGCATTTTTTCCGTCGACGACAGCGGCGCTTTCATTTTTGGACTGCTGCGACCATTGTCCAGATGGTGGGATCCGAATCCGAATACGAATCCGAATCGAATCCAAAGAATCCGTAGAAACGGGGCTAAGAGTGGGGCTGAGCTGACCAAAAACTAGAACCGAGGTATTTTAATGACAATGGAGATCGAGTCTTTGAGACTTTGAGACCTGCCTGCAGCGCAACACTTTTACTCATTACGCTCTCGGTTTTTTATGCCATGGATCTAGATACTTATCTGGGCAGAAGTTTCACTAGATAATTTGCATCATTATTTTCTGGGCAGGCCAGCCAAGTACGGTTACTTTTTGGCGCTACATTAAAGCCGGCAAATTAACACAAATGTATGACAATCTACCAATCAGAATGCGAACGTAGATCTCGGAAATATTTGACCCAGAACACCGTTGTGCTTAACAGTTTATAACTCCGTTTTGCAAATAGTTATAACGCACCCTCTTTAAGGTTCGTCAACCAGCCCAACAACAGCAAAAATGCCAGAACACGAAAATCTTGAATGGGAATATTCTACCTGTAGGACAGACTCACCGACAGACGGCCGCAACCCATAAAAATCAAAGTATGAATATGTTTAGCCCACTTTTTATAAAATTTGTATTTCGCTTTGGCCCACGGCACGCTTGGCACTCGAGCATTTAGGCGACGCTTTGAGAATCCGCTTTGAATCATCGCTACACAGGGAAAAACAATTGAGTAGTTTCGAAATTGATAAAATATTTTAAAATGAACCAGATGATCATGAATATTTAAAATAATTTTAAAGCAGAATAGATCACAAAACAAAAATCAAAACCTACATACAAAACGCTTATGTTGATCTTAACTGAAGAAGATCACCAATATTAGAATCAATTTACTTTGAACATAAGTATTACTATTCAGAAATAAGTACCAGCTTTCCTTAATCAACCACAGCTTTAATTTTAAAAATTGAATTGATAAAAATTGGCACAAAATCAATAAGAATTATCAATAAGTTAGTGTTGTTTGATACATTGCCAACTTTGCCAAATTATTAAATTGTGTTAGTTAGGACGACTAGTACTTAGACCAAATTGATCATATTTTTTCTGTGTAGATTACCGGTTGAGATGTTTAAATTTCAGAGATATGCTGGACAAGCAGAGAAAACAAGCGAATGAATCGGATTGCCGAAAGCAATCCAAAACTCCATTCAAGGGAAATCGTTGACTAAGCGTGGGCGTGTTTTTGCTTTCTCGCTTGATTAACATTTTCATGAGTCCCGAAGTCGGTCAAGTTCACAGGGGTTTCTTTGGTTCGCAAGGGTTCGGGGCCCAGAGTTTTGGGGTCTTAAAACCTATGGTACTTAAAAATCCAGCAATTCCCGCAGGAATGCAGCTGTGCCCAATCGCAGGGTCAGATCTGCAGCCGCATTCCTCGACTCGACCCCCTGACAGGGCCATATATCACTTGTAACCGCTCTCTAAGCCACACTAAAGTGCTGTTGCCAATTCGAGTGCCAGAGCCTAGACGTGAGCCGACTGACAAACCATCTGGGTATCCATACACATTTCTGGGATGGAACGCCAGCCTAGTAAAAGTTATTTGGCCAATACAAATTCATTATAAATTCGTCAAGACCGGGCAAAAAGAAAGTCCAAGAAAGGTGCTAATTCATGCCAGCGGATCGGCCGTTCGGGCCGCGAAGAAATGGGTCGAAGTGGGCGAAACGACAGAGTTCCCAGAGCCCATCCTATCCTATCATATCCCAGACCAACCCAACATAACCCAACCCAACCCAACCCATGCCATTATTCCAGGCCAGGCACTTAGTGGACCACCGAAGGTGTTGCCTTTACTTTGCGCTGCATGTGTGTATAGCCATATTATGTGTGTTCTTTATGCCATACTGGTTTCCACAAGGAAGACGAGAACAATGCCAAGTTCAGGCAAAATACAAAAAAACGGGAAAAAAAAAAAATACAAAATACAAAAAAAGAGAGAAGTGTAAGAGATCTTGCAGCTGCCTCTCCTTGTGGGCGCTACGGCTTTAGTGTCTTTATTTTTTGTGCTTATTGGGGTCACTTACTTTGACAGAACTTCTACTTAAGCACCGGTATTCCATTTTGTAGCTGCGTGTGTTGGCTGGTTGGATGGTTGATTGCTGGGCTATTGGCTGTACTTGGTATTTGGTACTTGGTGGGCACTTGAGGTGTTCTGTCGAACAATAATGTCTCGTATATGGTATATATCGTGCCTTCTGTTCCGACTTCTGCGACTTGTCCGATTCGAATTGGCTTTTCACTTCACTTCACGAGAACGATGAGTATATCACACTAAGTCGCTGATTTCACTGGAAGCCCCTTTTCGAACTCTTTGGAGGTAACGCGCGTCTGACAACCGACCAACTCGAGCGCTCAACCTGAACTGACGGACCAGGCAACGTTTACCATTCCTTAACAACTTGGTGTGTCGCTGCTGTTAATGGGATCTTCGGCAATATCGCACTCGTAACCTGTTGCCGTCGTGCCAAGTGTTGCTGCTGCAGATGTTGCCGCTGTTGCTGTTGTTGCTGTTGTCGCTGTTGTCGCCGTTGTCGCCGTTGCTGCCGTCGATGTTGCTGCTGCAGAATGCTTTGCCCGCTGGCATTGTGGGTGCCGATCTGGATACATGTGAATGCTCCTCAAAAAACAATCGATGCAAAAGCAAGCCACAAACATCAGACAGTAGCACAGGCAAACGAACAACACAAATCCAACTAGAACAGACAGGACTATAGTCAAAAGTAAATTCATTCTGTGCTAAACAGATCACTTTAAATTTCACTTTGATAAGTGCTGTCATATATAGCTTTGCCCAGCAGAAACAACCAATTATCATTCCGATCGTAGAATTTAGGTTAGGTGTCATTATACTTCTATAGGAAAAACAATGCACATAAATCTTTTACATTGGTGAAATCAAAATCTTCAAATATCAGCTATACATTTTCGGTTTTGCGTTAAAATACATCGACCATTTGAAGGCCTTCTTAATACTTCTATGCGATTTCTGCAATAAAACAATTTGGCTTCGTTTACCAGAGCACATGGGTCGCTAAAAATTATATTATACAATTCAATCTCCAGATTTCCATATCCATTCAATCAGAATAGTTATCAAGGATACTGACATTTTGAAATTTCATACATTTCCAAAATATTGTTAATCATATGAGATTTTGCATACTTTCATTAGACAATTTGATTGGTTTTATTAGTATCTCAAAATATGATTTATATCTTAAAGTTCCAAAACCAACAATCTCCAAACAAACTCTATATGCAGTATTTATATTGTAAATAATTAAATTAATTATTTGATAGTAATAACAAATAAAATTAACATTTATTTTCATAAAATTGTGTGCATTGTTGTTATTTCCAGAAACAGGATGGACGTAAAGATTGATGTAACTTATTTATTCATTCAATGCTAAGACCTGTAATTCAATTATGATAATACCGGCAGAAGAGGGTTTCACCTTCAAACGAATCTGAAAGCATCACAAACTGACTTATCGGCTGCAAGGGCTTCCGTTAATTGGTTATCGATTAATGGCATTACGCAATCGCGTATTCTGTAAATGCTCGACTCTCCGTCTATTTCTCCGTGTCCGACAATTAAAAAGCGCTTTTCATTTTCTTTTGGGAAAGTTATCAAGCCATATTAGTTGCAATTCGCCATGGTTATTATCGAAAAATGAAGAAAACGCCGAAAGGCCACACAAAAACTTTCATAGTGGTTGTAACTTTTCCCCTTCGTCCCCAGGCGACATTTGAAGTCAATTGTCGTCGCGTCGTGCAGAAAAAGTGCTCGACTGGTGTGTATAAATAAACTTAATTTAATAGTAACAATTGAAACAAGCGCAGTGCCACAATAAAGCGAAAGAAACATTGTCCGATCCGAAATGAAACATGAGAGTGAACCCCCTTCCCCGCCACATTTCTTTCGGAATGACACGTCACGCATGCGCAGTGTCAACGCAACTTTTCAGCGAAAGTGACTGAACGAGTTACAATTGTCCACGGCCAACGCTCCAAACGCCTTTATCAGCGACAGAGGCCCACAATTCACTGGCCTGCCGTAATAGTTGCCAAAATAAATGAAAACAAAATGCCCCCAGTTTGCCAGAAGAAACTACATTTTCTAAAAGGTAGTCAACTTTACGTCTGCGTCTAGACTAAACCTTTCTATTGCCATTGTTCAGGATCTATAACTTAAATATATTACAATAAAATGCTCACATATTTGCCAAACACAGCACGGTAACCAATTTTTAAATTAAGACATCTTTTATAATACAAATTGATTACTTTAAAACATACCAAACTTATAGTTTTTGTTAACACGATAGCTTCGTACAAGCAAAACAGTATAAAAATATTTAATTTCTGGTAAATTAACAAAGAAAATTTTGGTTTAAATGAAATTATTGGACACTTGGGCTCATTTGCTAGCGCTTCATCGTAAGCCTAAAATTGTGGTTAAACTACATAATAGCTGTTCCCGAGAAAACAGACCTTAGATTTGAAAACTGGTTTAATTTTGGGTAAATATTTTTCTTTATTTTCTTTTGTGAAGTTATTTATACTAATAACTTTTACAGAACAGTTTTTTTTTGTAATTTTGAAATGATATGCTTAAGCTTTAAGATTTGAATACTACGAAACCAAGTTATAAAGTAGGTACCTATGTATTTATTGTCTTTTTTTAATTAAGCATAAAATGCTTTTAAGATTTCGGACATTCAAATGCCACTTTTTTGTCATGTTTTGTAGAGAAAATAATTTATCTATCAACTAATATTTATAATTATATATTTACTTTACTTTTGTTTGGGTTATTAATTCTGAAAGAGCTATATATTTTCTTTCTTTGCAACCCCTAAAAGTATTCTTTCATGTAATCAGCAATATAAAAATTTTAAATAACATTTGAGGATCTTAGCAACCGCTGCCTGTCATGGCAACTTAAATTGTTTACCTAGCCACCTGTCCCCAACTTAAACAAAAAACCAAACTTGAAAAAAACGTGTTTTGAAAAGTGCTAAGGAAATCAATAAGTAACAGGCGAAAATGGTGAACTTTGTGTATCCGGAGGAGATGTATCTGTTCGTGGAGAGCATTCGTCCGTTCCAGGTGCGTGATGTGGGCAGCAGCAAGTGGCTGGAGGTGCACGAGATGATCATCAAGTTGAGCCAGCAGGCGACCCTGGAGCTGGCCGAGCATCGCGAGGAGGAGGTCAAGGAGTTCCTCATCTCACGCGACAAGCTTCGCCTGCTGATCCACGAGGCGTATTGCGTGACCCTGTGGAAGACCCAGGTGCTGCCGCATCTCCTGGAGATCGATCCCAATCCACAGGCCACATTCCTCATCTATACGGTGCTCTACCACGAGGCTGCCTTGGTGTCCCTCCTCGATGTTTGCCTCTACCATCCCAGTGGCTGTGAGACGCTGCAGGAATCGGTGCTGGATTTGATTGACTATTGTGCCCAGGCGGTGTCTCAGGTAATTGGCCTGGTCAGCATGGGCTACCACGAAAACGAGTCCAAAGTGGACGTGGATGAGGCGGTGCTCACCGAGCTGGAGCGCCAGAAACGCGACTTTATCTATAAGATTGGTCTGCGATGCATCTCTGTGTTGAATTATCTGGCGGATAATGTGGCATTGTTCCATTTGAGCGCAGGCCGTCGCCTGTTGGTCACCCATGACATTCCCTGGCTCATGGTGGATGTCTTGTGTTTCCGGTGAGCATTAGGTTTCTTTGGGCGCTTCTATCCTGATCCTATATTTTGATGACCTTTAGACCCTGGCAAAGGAAGACCAGCAAGGGGCTGCAGAAGTTCATCGACGAGAAGTGGACCAATGTGGATGATGTCACCAAGATTGTGAAGCCGGAGGCTCAAGCCTGGTTTTGTGTGCGACAGCTTCTCCTAAATGCCCAGGTCATGGAGCACTATACGTTCAACGAGGCACGCTGTAAGCAATTGAGTAAGGTTAGTAAAGTCCTTTACTTTTCTGCGATCTCCGATTCAATCATTATGCTCTTCAGCTTTTAGGACTGATGCACGAGACCCTGATGGACCAACTGCCACCGCTGATTGAACTGAAGATGTTCCTCAGCCGGATGACGCTAACTGGCAATACGGCCAAGTCGCAGAAAGTGTTGTTGGAGGACATTCCGCAGATCCAGGAGGAGCTGCTGAAGGAGGTGGAGCGATGCGGAGGCTTTTACCAAATAGCCCAGGAACAGGACTCTGTGTTTCTCAACAAAAACAAGGAGGATATCTGCGCTATGGCCAGTCGCCTGAGCAAAGCCTATGGCACGGAGTTACTTTGTGAGCTGGAGCAGAAACTGGAGGATCTTAAAGCGGAGGAGCCCAAGGAGGACTCGGGAGCTGGTGGCGATGGAGGAGGGGAGCACAGCTGTGCCTCCTGCCAGAAAAAGGCCAAGAAGAAGTGCGCCAACTGCAAGCTGGTGCACTACTGCTCCCGGTGAGTTACATTTTATCTTCTATTCATCCAATTCTCTTATAGTTCATCATGATTCATAATGTTCCAGAGACTGTCAGCTCAAGGATTGGCCACAGCACAAGCTTGTCTGCCCTAAGTAGTATTTATAACCCCGAAACAATTATAACAATAGCTTGTTTAGAATAGAACATTCCAAAAATGTAAAAAGGTCAACTTTCTTTTATTTTCATCTGGATTCAGGTGCAAATACGTTTTATTTTCAATTAGCGATAAGCTTAAAAAAAACTTTCACGTAGTCTCTCATTCAACAGACAGGGTACAGCGTTTAGTTTAGCTGTTCTGCCTGAGATGGTCCTTAACCACGTCCAAAGCGGGTGTCTCCTCACCGAAATCCTTGATCACGACCACGGAGCAGCCGCACACCTTGCGGGGCTTGCCCTCCTTGTCGATCTTGCACAGACCGGACCACTCACCCAGCTTCTTGTGCGAGTCCACGCGGATCAGGGGGATCTGGTGCTCGTTGCACAGGGCGGTGACCAGCTTCTTGTAGTTGGGCTCGTCGAAGGACTCGGCCAGGATGCACAGGACAGCCTGACGTCTGTTGGATTGGACAAATGGGAAATGATTAGTATATTGTTAGGGGTTGATGGCTAAATGCAGTTTGCCCAGCTTACATTTACTCAGTAATTGGAAGGTTTTTAATCAATGGAAAATTCATAAACACGGACCAATTAATTTCATCATAGACGCATCAGCAAAAGCAAGCTATTTGAGGTGGTACATCACTTCTTGGGTTTTATATTTTATAAAAAATAATAATTCAAAATGAGTCAACAGTATTATCAGTTATACGCTGTAAAAGGTTTTCAAAAAAAAAAATTAGGTTAAGTAGAATTTGGACCGGGAATTTCTAAAACGTGGATTTCATGTTTCAAAAGATTGTGACTCCGTGAGACCAACATTTTATAATATGTATGCCTTAAAACAACATTTTGGGCTAATTCAATTAATTGAAGTAAATTATAGGCCCTGCTGATAAAACTAAAAAGCCAAGAAGTGATTAGACCTCTTAATATGTAGATTATTGGGCTACTCACTTGTCCAGGGCCTTGCAGGCCTGGTGGATGCCATGGACGAGTCCATCGGCGATCAGGGACTTCTTCAGGACCTCCTGCAGGGCGGTGTTAATGTCCATGGCGCCATCCAGAACGGGGGCTGCGGAGGGAACATCACTGCACCAGGAAAAACAAGGTTTATTAGCATAAAATCATCGCTCACACCACCTCGCAGCACAAAAAACTAATTTAGCCTTGCTCGTTCAGTAATTGGAGAATTTATAATCAATGGAAATTCATAAACACGGACCAATTAATTTCATCAAGAAGCGGTTGGCAAGCAAGGCATAAATTGCGTTTCTCGTCTGTGAAACATACACTTACACATCAACGTCGGCCATTGTTTTGCGGTTCGGGATGCACTGCACTGGGAAATAAAGTTAAAAATGTAGTATTAGCATTTAAGCACGAGACACATTATTTTTACACATCTGTACCTTTTGACAACCGGAAAGAAAGAGAACAAAGTAGCGTGGGCCCTGGCGATGTGAGTTTGCAGCAATCGATAGAAGCCTTAGAGTCGCAATTGCGAACAATCGATAGCTGCTAAGAACAACAATAAGTAGTACCAGAGTTTTACGATATTCTCATAATATATAATCAGGGTTTTCCCTGAACATGTACAATTTTTGTTTTATTTTATTTAAATGCCATTTTACTAGTGTGTATCATAGTTCTTTTGTAATTGATAATACAAAATTATTGTATTACCAATATGTATGATTTCATTAAATAGTTTATGTATAAATTTTGAGAATGCATCGCTTTCCATAATTCTAACACAGTTCTCGGTCCTCTATATATTATTTACTTAATCATGACATAATGAGCCGCAAGCAATGCGATTTCAATAACTCTACGAAACTAAAAAAGCTGATAGGTCAGATAAGGATTAATCCATTGGCGAATAAATGAATAAATAAATAAATAAAAACGGCTTTTCTTTGCAAATATTTTTTGGTATTACCCAAATTACTGAATCGTAGATTTTCTGTCATTTGCACCCTGTTTTTATTACAATAACAATTTTTGCAGTGTATGACGAATAATCCCATTTTTAGTGTGCCCACGCGTTAGTAGAAGAATGCTTGACCCATGGCACCTGGTAACACTGAGATAAACAATCCCAAATTCCCAAACGCCCGCAACTCGCGCTTCCGACTATAACCGCTGTACTAAATTGCCTATAAATATCCGCGACTATATCTGATTCTCCACCGGATAGCGATTTAATCGAGAGCCGAAGGCGCTCGCTGGAGATTTAAAGTGCAATATCTACAACTTGTTTATGTTTACATAAGAAGGCAGTCGAGGCAGCAGCAGCAACAACAACTATGACGAGCACGCTACAGTAAGTTGTATCTGTAGTGGGGTTTTATTATTAACAAACAAGACGAAAAAACCCAACATGTGCTCCCGATTCTCGCACATGCACACCACTGTGTATATAATTGCCGAAAATTTACAGCTACATGTGAAAATTGTGTGCGCGTGTTTGCTTTCGTTATCTGGAATTAAGATTCTATCTAGACTCTAGATTCTCGGTTGACCCGTAAGATACAACAAAATTGGGGGCAATAGAGGTTGGGGGCTGTGCCGATCGGCATATGAATGAACTAATATTTATGTACATATATATCCGGGCGTGTTTTTCGGCGCCACAACCTCTCGAATCCCCGAAATTTTTCGACTGATAAGGAGGCCGAATTCTTGCCAGCAACTACAAATGCAATCGTAAACAAGACCACACTGGCGTCACAAAAATTGATTATGGGTAAATTATTAACTATGGAAAATGTATATTTTTTATTGGTACTCCACAGTTAGATGTCAAGTATCAATATCATGTTCCGCAGTAATTCCAAATGGCTCGATCTTAAAATATATCCCTTATCTGATTCAATATCCAAATAAAATTTAAAAGAACAGGTGTCTAGCCCAAATTTAACTTATAACCGGCACTTGTACAATAAAAAAAGGTAAATTACAAAAAATATGGAGCGTTTTGGGTTCTATAAAGAATCATAAACATATATTCTGACAAAGGTTTAGCTCTGCCTAATCCACCCACATCCCAAATTTCATTTCGATTGAAATATATTATGGTGTTAAGAACGATTTTAGTATCCGCACTCATTTAGATTTGTAAAAGTTGTAAATAAACCCCCTTTTAATAATGACATAATATTAACATTATTAAATGCTGATGGTAATCTAATTATTTTATTAAATTTTTGAAACGTAAACCAAAATATAAACCTGCGAAGTCATGTTTATGATTAATATATTAAAAAAAATTAAAAAATATCCAGATTTTGTGGGTAATATTTACCAAAGATGCTTAATATAAAACCCTCTCCCAACACTTTTCTGTGTACCCGGGGCGTATGCTTAATAGTTCGACGGCTAGTCCTCCTTTCGCTGGGGGTAGGGCTATATCTCTGAGGTTCATCGCCAGCTGATTGCTCTGAAAGCTCTTGCTGTTCTCAAAAGATGAATGGAATCGTCAATTGGGCGCATTAGCATCAGGCCCTCAGGCGAGCAACATGTGCGATCGTATCAGCAGCAACGTTAGGTTCGGCTTTCCTATCTACCTACCCATTGAAATCGAGGAGATAATGCTTATAATTCGTATGATTTACTCTACCGCAGAGAAGGAATCCTGGTGGGATGCGGCAATCCGCTGCTGGACATCTCCGCCGTCGTCCCTCTGGATTTTCTGCAAAGGTACTCGATGAACGAGGACGATGCGATCCTGGCCGAGGACCGACACATGCCCATTTACGGGGAGCTGGTCGAAGGCTACCGGGCTGAGTTCCTGGCTGGCGGATCCGTGCAAAACTCGCTGAGGATCGCCCAGTGGATACTGCGGCAGCCCAAGGTGGCTGTCTTCTTCGGATGCGTTGGCGAGGATAGGTACGCCGATATCCTGAAGGAGAAGGCCAGTTCTGCCGGTTTGGATGTCCACTACCAGGTGAAGCGGGACCTGCCCACGGGCACCTGTGCCGTCCTTATCACCGGCACTCATCGATCGCTCTGCGCCAATCTGGCGGCGGCCAACAACTTCACCATCGATCACCTGGAGGAGCCCGGCAACAAGGCTCTGGTGGATAACGCCCAGTACTACTATATTTCGGTGAGTTCAGTGCTTCTGTTTTGAGCTACACCGTAGAATCGATGCCGGAAGTAATTACTATACCAGCCAACGGGAAGTAAGTTATTATAGCGATTGCATACCGAAGTGATTAGGCGGTTATTAGAAGCGGGAATTTATGAGTTTCTTGATTGTCAATATATTTGGTTTGCTTGTTAATTAAGATTCCCTAGCATATTCCTTCTTAACTACTCAAATCAATTAAGTGAACTTGATTAATCTTAAATATGTAAATTATAAAAAATATTTGTCATAATATTTTGAAGTACTTGTAGAGTTAAATATATAATAATATTAAAGCATGCAAAGTTAAACCAATCTAATGTATGTTTTTCAACTGTCCTAACTAAATATCTTTGTAAAGGCTTTCAAATACATTAGTTATATCAAGAGACAAAAAATATATGTTTAACCTTATACCTGTTATTTTTCCGCAGGGCTTCTTCCTCACCGTAAACCCGCCGAGCATCATGCAGGTGGCCGCCACCGCCCACGCCAAGCAGCGACCCTTCCTAATGAACCTCAGCGCACCATTCATATCGCAATTCTACATGGCACCGCTGCTGGCCGTCCTGCCCTATGTGGACATCATCTTCGGCAACGAGGCGGAGGCACAGGCCTTCGCCGAGGCCCAGAACTGGCCCAGCGGGGATCTGCGCGAGATTGGCAAGCGGCTGGTGGCGATGGACAAGCTGAATCCGACGCGACCCCGCATTGCCATACTCACGCAGGGCTGCGATCCCGTGCTGCTCATCCAGCAGGATTCGGTGCAGGAGTTCCCGGTCACGAAATTGGCGGTGCATGAGATTGTCGATACCAATGGCGCTGGGGATGCATTCGTTGGAGGTTTCCTGTCGCAGTTTGTGCAGGGCAAGTCGCTGGACGTCTGCATCCGGTGCGGCAACTATGCCGCCGGGCACATCATCAAGAATCCGGGATGCACATACTCCGGCGAGCCGGAGTTTGTCGAGTGAAATCCGGATACAAAAGCTACCGAAACCTTACACACACACACACCCACACACACACTAAGACAGAGAAGCGAAAGAAGAAGCAGGCAAAGCGCAGCAAGATTTTGCAATTGTTAATTAAGTAAATGAGAGTGACTAAGACATTTTGTTAAAACACAGATAATTGTTTGTACATATAACCCACACACTCAGACACATACTAAAGCATACACATGTGGAATGACATGAACAAATAGCGAGAGTGAGGCTTGTGTCTTATAGATAGAGCAATATTCGAATTTAAATTGATAATAAAATAAAAGTGACACACACGCGAGCGAAACACAAAAGTCTACGGTTTGCACAACTTGAAATCTTTGTTTTTTCTTGCAGATAAGAGGTGTGGAAGTGCATTGCCTCATCCTTTTATTTATCGGGGTTCTAATCAGATTGTGATTGAAATGATTCAAGAAAAAGTTCTAAACTTATCCTCTTTGTCAGTAAGGTTTCTCAGCAAATAATAGTATCTAGCCAGCTCACAAGTGCTAATAATTTCAACATATTTGTAGAAATTATCAGCTTAGATTAAACAAAATATAGTACAGATAAATATATTTTTCTGGGTTGCAACTGTCATCAATTTTCAACATATTTGACAACCAAATGCGATAGATAGAGATAATCTAAGCAAACAGTTTTATAGCACCTGCACACATTTAATAGACGGCCCAAAGTAAAATTCAGAAGAATAATACAGCTGTGTAACAACACCTATTAATGCCAAAAATATTTCACAGATAAGGTTCATCAGCAGATTAGATTGTCAGCAACAAACTTTGACTGGTTTATAACACCGATATTTTATATAGATAAAATTAAATTCTAAATATCAGACAACTTATTTGTCAGTGAAAGCCAGATGCAAACAAACAGCACAGCTAAACCTTGTAACCCATAAGCCCCATACATATACAATCCAGAAACATCAGCAGATTAGGTTATCAGCCACATGCTTTGACTAGTTTATGAATACAAAACAACATGCTAAATATTAGAAAAACTTATTTTCGAAAATACAATGTGCTTTTGCAATCTTTTTTTTTTTTTTTGGCTATGCAAAAGACGACTGTTGTGTACGTTTTTACCTAAATCTAAAGCAGAACTTTTTGTTTGCCTTGGCGACTTGTTTGTGACATTGAACCCAAGATCCGTGGCACTAATCGAGCAGATAGCCCCGGATGAAGGGCAGGCCCGTTGGCACCCGCTTCTGATAGCGCACATAGTCCGACTGGAAGAAGTTGAGCAGGGAGTACTCCTCGACGTAGATGCGATCGTGGAAGAAGAGCCAGCTGACCAGAGTGTAGATGCAGATGCAGATGGGATTCAGCAGCACGATCTGGGTACCAACGGACCACCAGAACCAGCCTACATATGACGGGTGCCGGCAGTAGGCGTAGATCCCGCTCGTTATTAGTTTGTGATCCGAGTGCTTTTCATTCTGGACCTGTAGGAGATTTATAAATCTTTTTAATGACATGGTTTTAAAATCTAAATAGTTTTTGAATCCCTTAAACTTTTAGTTCCTAAATTATTATTCCTTAGTTATTATTTGCATCGAAATACATCCTAGAAAACCTTTAGAATTAACAACCTTATAGCTATTCTATTATGTAATCTAAAGTAATATCGTCCAAAAAGTCCGCTCATAACCTTTCAAGCTTTTAAGGCAACTAACCAAGTGCGTAAAGCTTCGTCCGGCTGTGATGATGGCCGCCTTGCGGACGACTTCGCCAAAGGAGCAGAGGACCACGCCCGCCAGCCATATGTGTCCGAATCTCTTGAACTCCGGCAGGAAGTACACCTCCAGCGAGAACTCGATCCAGCTGGCGGCCGCAGCCAGGCCATAGTGCACCGAGTGGTTCAGCATGAAGGAATCGAGACTCAAGGTGCGCGGATTGGCATAGGCGATTACCAGGAACTCCGAGTAGTGGAAGAAGGACATGAAGCAGCCGTAGACGCCGAATTGCTGCCACTCGGTGGGTGCAAAGCAGATGACCAGCACACTCACGGCCATGGCGAAACCCAGGAAGGAAGCCCTAATGGCCACCTGTGGAGTAGAGATAGTAAATGCCACTGATAAAGCTTAAACACGATGTGGAGTGACTCACCTGGTAGTCGTGGTTCCGCAGCACAAACCGTATAATCATGTTGATCAGGGCGTAGTAGAGAACAGGACCCCAGAGCACGGCGCCCCACACTTGGGGCACCATTCCGTAAAGGATCTGTGGCACCGAGGGGATCAGGATCAAAGCTGCGGTGATCACAAAGCAGTACAAACTCAGGCGACCTTCGGCACACAGGGATCGGGATCCTCCAGTGCCGGGGGCGGGAACCCGAGGACTATTTGCACACATGTCTAGAGGATTCGGACTCTATTTGTGCTGTAGTGTGCGCCAAAACACGGTTTATTGCTATTTTTCAAAACATTTGCACGGTTCAATGCGCTGAAATGTAAATAAACCGGCAATCTTTCGATAACGATAGGTAGTACAGTGAATGCCCGTTAGAGGAGAGGGGTAATAATAAAAAAAACCATTCACACTAGACCCCCGTACCCTTACGTACCGTTTTGAATATACAATTTGTTTTAGGCAATACCCACTGTTCTTTCAAACGATACTTCTACTTATACTATCGATATAAGCAAATGTTAAATTATAAAATAAATAAATCAACTAACAAAGCTTACAGAAAAAGTTATTACCTACATTTTAAGTTTTTTTAAAGGGCTTAAAAATGTGTATATATTAGCTTTTTATTTATTAAATTTAGTTGACGCCTTATCGATATGTTATCGATAGCCTGATGAGCAGCTGTTAGCGGCGCCGTGCAGGTTATGTAAAATAAAAAGTAAAATTGTTAAGATCAATTAGAAAAGGCAAACAAATTGATAAAACTCCTGTGAAGATATAGTCATGGTGTTCCTGAATCTGCCACTTTTGGTCAGAGCCCGTGGTCCCGATGAATTCTGGCGAAAGAGGCGCATCTTCAAACTGGCAGCGGTAATTTTACCAAACTTCCATCAAAAGAAACAATTATGAATCGTAAATGTTTGTATCCTGCAGCATTACAGGAGTCGCACCCGTAATGTCTACTCTTTCGCCATAAGGAGTGTCCACAGGGCATTGGCCTACGCGACCAAAGGGCGAAAGCTAAAGAAACTGGACATGGCTCAACTTTGGAGCACTCGCGTGGAGGCTGGTTGCCAGCAGTACGGTGTGGGTCTGGAAACCTTCAAGGAGGGCCTGGCTCGATCCGATATTCTGCTTAACAAGTGGGTAGTACCAGGAGATGCCAAATCCTATTTACTTAACTATAATCCCCCCCAGGAAAACCCTCTCCGATCTGGCCATCTGGGAGCCGCGTTCATTCGAAGCTCTTGTGAGGATCTCTAGAGAGCGGGCCGCCGTTGAAGGATTGCCGGACATCAAGCGGAGGTCGGCCTTCAACCAGGTTTACGGCCTGAGCAACCTGAAGTTGGATTAAATAGTCTTAAGTCTGAGTTTAAATATAGATTTTTGTATATTTTAACGAAGAACATGGGGTATTCGTTGGTATTACGTTTTTACTAGTATATCTTTTTAGAGAACTCTGCTCCATTTTATCTCTAGAATTATCTTTCATTTTTTATAATCCAGTTTGGAAAAAGTGCTTTATGTCGAATTCGTTTTACCTGCAATTTAAGAAACAGCTGCAGTTTTATCACCACAGTCCTTACTATCCAGAAGTTATATTATTTTATGTACGATTGAGATTTATGGGATTATTAAGACTTATTATAAATATATAGGAATGCGCAACAACTTATGTCGAATGATAAAATGAAAACCTAGAGTAATTTTATCAGTTATAATTTGTACCTCCACTAAATCCAGTGCCTCTTACTCAACCCAATTAATATGGAAACCAAAAACAAGAGACTGAGCCTTGTAACCTTGTACATTTTAACAAGTAACTCGAAGTTTATTGAACGGCGGTCCATGCGTAATGCAAACAAAAATATTGCATCAGCGTTTATTGTAGTTCTGGTTTTGGGTTTGTGTGTTACGTACTAATTGAAAACATAGAATTCATAGAATTGTGAGACGGGTTCCAGACTCGAGATCTACTCCAGTTTGGCCAGGATGTCGGATTCGCGGAAGAGGAACAACTCCTTCTGGTCACCCTCGAGGTTAACCTTGGTGCCTCCGAATTCGGGGAGCAGCACACGATCGCCCTCCTTCACGCCAATGGGAATGTGACTGCCAGTTGTCTGAATATTTGGATTTCAGATGATTAAATTGAATGATTCCCAATACAGAGATAATGACGAAATACTCACGGTATTACGAGTACCAGGGCCAACGGCCAGAACGGTGCCCTCGAGCACTTTGCCCACCGATTTCTCGGGGAGAACAATACCGCCTTTCGTCTTAGTCAGCGCCTCGGCCCTCTGGATCAGGATGCGGTCCAGCATGGGGATGATCTTCTTGATAGCGGCGGACTGGAAAGCATAAAATAAGCCCCCCAACAATTAACCCATGTTTCATGTTTCTCTCATTGATTACACAACAGCCCGGCAACGAGAGAGAGAGATGGACACCCGAGTTCTGGAAGCTTCCCGAAAAACAGTATCCCAAATGGTTTTGATCTCCGTTTGATTGGCTTTTTATGTAATCATCTCTTAACTCACCATTTTTGTTCTTAAATGCAAACTGGAGCGTTTGTGAAAAGTTAAAGAGTGAACTTTTTACTTTACTACACGTGCCGGCGTAACTTCGATAGATGCGGGAGTACTAATCGTCGGTGTGACCAGGCGGCACAAATAAAATCCATCGAAAATTATTTTATTTACTACACTGGGAAAAAAAGCTTGAAAGGGCTAAAATGTATATTTATAATTTTATAGAACAGAATAAGGTTAAAAAAAAAATCATTGAAAAGTTGTACTAAAAATTGTAATACCTTTGAAATTTTGATGAACATTCAAATATTGTGTTATAAAGGTTAGCGGTAATATAAATATTTACATAAACTTCTAGAAAGTTCAATGAGTATAAAGGTGATTTAGCTTAGCGCTAAGGTACAAGATATTTATTTTGAAACACATCCATTCGGATCAACTATCATTTTTGCTTAAGCATTACTCAGTACTCATTCTACGAAAAATTTTGTAAAATAAAAATAAATTTAAATAAATCTAAAATAAAATTTAATAACTTTATCTTGAGCACAGATTAACAAATTATAATTATTAGATATAAGCGGATTTTAAATTGACGGAAATTTAAAATATTTCTCCCGATATATATATATATTTTTCTAATGCAAACTATCGATATACCGATATGCTTCGCAACTCCCACCACCAGGCTGTGTTTGTCTTGATTTTTTGAGTCACCGTTTTGCCTTGTTTACATTTAATGTAATTTCTACGAGATTAATATAAATTAATTTTATTTTCAACTCAAGTGGCATGATGTGCGTTTGTTGCTCACCAAGTTCAACATTCGCTTAAGCTGTTATAGTTTTAGAGTAATTTCCTGATAAGACAACAATTAACATACTAAAATGACGGAACGTCGTGGCACACAGGGCACAAAGGCCCTGGAATACTGGTAAGAAAGAGGTGCGCTAGAGCAAGAAATACAGAAATCACGATTTACTTAAATATATATAGGTGTCGAGTTATCACCCAAGGATATAATGGAGTTAAGATCGACAATATGACCACTTCGTGGCGAAACGGGCTCGCCTTCTGCGCAATAATACATCACTTTCGACCGGATCTCATAGATTTCGATCAATTGAAACCTGATGATATCTATGAGAACAACGACTTGGCCTTTACTACGGCTGAGAAATACTTGGGTATTCCCGCCTTACTGGATGCAGCTGATATGGTTTCCTACGAAGTCCCCGACCGACTATCCATACTAACTTATTTGTCCCAGTTTTACAAGGTCCTCGGCAAGAGCCTCAAAGTTCCGAAGCCGGAAGAACCGTTTCCCGACGAAAGTGAGCCGCCACAAAAGATGATGCATATTGTGGGAATGCCACGGCGTGATAAGTGCCAGAAATGCGAGCTTCCGGTTTTTCTGGCTGAACGAGTCCTTGTCGGAAAGCGAGCTTATCATCGCACTTGTCTGAAATGTGCACGATGTGGGTCATTACTCACACCAGGCAGTTTTTATGAAACCGAGGTCAATAATACATATTGTTGCGAGACTTGCCCCGATGAGGAAAGTGAAACCGAAACAGATATTGCAGAACTAAAGACACCTAGGATTGATCCTGCTATTGGCATTAAACTTGTGGCAGAAAGTCCTGACCATCTCAACGATCAGAAAAACAATGAAGACCTGGAAGACAATAATAATGAAGCCTCCATAAGTACAACTGAAAAGCCATTAATCAGTGAAACGCCGTCCGTCGTAGATAAGCAAAATGAAGTGGAAGTGAAAGTTGTTGAAGTGGAAAGAACCATAAGTACTGAACAAAATGAAGATGAGAAACCAATAAGATCAACGCAAAGCGAAGATGATGATCTAATGAGTTCTGAACAGAAGGAAGTTGATAGTCCAATAAGTACTGAACAAAATAAAGATCTAACTAATGATCCTGTAAAGCCCGATGTACAAAAGAAACCCAATATTCCTTCACTTCCACTAGATGAAGAAGATGGCGCTCATCTTGAAGAAGTAACCACTTTAGAGAAATTAGATGAACCAGAAGTTACAAGCTCAACGTCAGAATTACTTATTCCAGAATTACCGAAAACACCAATTCCAGAAATCAACACTCAAGAAGATAATAAAACTGAACATAATATAAAGTGTAATACTGAAAATGAAATTTTCTCAAAAACAGAAAGCTGCTCTAAGCAGGAAGATGATATCGTAAAACAAAAAGATCTCGAGTCTCCCAAGGAGACAATTGAGACGAAAGTAGCTGAAACTCACTACCCAGAGGATTTAAATCCTTTTAAAGATGATGATGAAGATTCAAGTAAGGGTGCTAATCCTTTCGACAGCTCCGACGATGAAGTTGAGCTTCTAAAAAACATTCCAAAAAGAGATAAAGTCGTACCGCCCCGTCCACCTCCACCCAAAATAGGCCAAGCCATATCTAAACCATTAGAGGATCAACATTCCAGCCCTACACCTTCTCAAGGGAAAAAATTACCGATGCCCACACCTAGAATTTCTATATCAAAACCGCTGACTCCAGCAAAATCGATGACTCATCCGGACCAGAAAAACAATTTCAATATTTCCTCTTCATCATCGGAGCACTTACACAGCTCGAGATCTTTCGATCGCGGTGCAGATGACCGTGGCTCAAGTATCTCTCTGCCATCTAGTAACGCGCCACGAAAGCCACTACGTGCCTCAGGAGCGACTCCGTTGAAAAGCGAGGACTCGAGTCCAACCACCAGTCTTAGTTCCATTACATCACCTATGCGGAAGAAGCGCCAAGCGCCTCTGCCGCCGAAACAAGTTGACATTGAGAGTGAGCCAGGATTTTCGAAATTATCTGATGAACAAAAGGCTCTGTTGCACAATCAGCACAAGAGCCAAAACCAGAGTGATTCCACCCGAAGATTAATACCACTTGACCAGAGCTTGCTCTTTGATGAAACAACCGAATCATCGAGTAACTACGAAGACAGCTTAAACACTTCGAATGCAGATGAAGAGGTGAACATAGTATATCGCCGCATTTTGGTTCCACCCACTCAGCCCGAAAACAAAGAGGATCAAAAGACCCCCATCGTTTATAACGACTTTGATAGAAACGTTAGCCCGTTGGGTTACAATAAATCAACGCATGGCAAGTGGAAGCGGAGGAAAGGTCCAGCACCGGCGGTTCCTATACCACCGCGAAAAGTCTTACAACGGCTTCCGCTGCAAGAGATTCGACATGAGTTTGAAATTATTGCCGTACAACAGCTGGGGCTCGAGAAACAAGGAGTTATCCTGGAGAAAATGATAAGAGATCGATGTGAGCGCTCCTTGGACGCAATGGAAAACACAAACGATGTCACTGGTGCATCAACAAACGATGGTTCCGAGTCAGCAGACTCTCAGATGCAAAACTCCAAGGAAGTAGAGGATCTTATATTGCAACTTTTCGAGTTGGTGAACGAGAAAAACGAATTGTTCCGAAGACAAGCTGAGTTAATGTACCTTCGACGGCAACACCGTTTGGAACAGGAACAGGCTGACATTGAGCACGAAATTCGAGTATTAATGGGTCAACCGGAGCACAACAAAACCGACACGGATAAAGCCCATGAAGAAGTATTAATCAATCGCCTGGTCAAGGTTGTTGAGATGCGCAACGAAGTAATAGACAGTCTAGAGACTGACAGAGTTCGCGAGGCGCGAGAAGACATGAGCATTAAGAACCGACTACATATTTACAATTCTGAGCGCGAAACTGAACCAGAAGTTTTGAAAAGCGCCGATAAGTCATCCAAAAAGCTGTCAAAGAAGGAGCGAAAAAAACTGAAGGAAGAAAATAAATTAGGCAAAGGGAAAAAATCTGACCTCGATAAGGATGTCGACGAGTCGGAGCCAACACCACCAGCTTTGGAAAAGGCAAAAAAGAAGCGAAACTTGTTTTTTTTAAAGATGTAAAGAAGTAGGGAACCGTTTTGTATGTGTCGAACAATTATCTTTTATTTTGTGTAAATTTATAACTTATTAAGTTTTTCTATTGCCATAGATGAGCGTTTCAATAAATAAAACAGAAATTTACAAATTTTTATTAGTGTTTAAGGGGGTTTTTGTGCCTTTAACAATACGCAACTCTAAAATAGTGGAGTAAATTTACAAATCGATTTGCCAATATTTGATTTTTCATTTCAAAATGATACTAGTTTTTCTGAAATTCCGTATCAACTTGGTCCTAATACGTGGGTTCGAATAAAATATATACATTTTTCATTATTCAACGGTAAAATAACAATTTTTCTTTTCTGTATAGAGCAATAAAGCTGATTTTTTTATGTGTACTTAATTATCGATAGTTTAATGATGAAAAAGTGTCGAAACTTTGACATCTCTAGACTGATAAGAGCTACAATCGATCTCGACAGTGGTATTATTAATCATTGTTAAATCAATTAATAATTTACAAATTGGCTGCCAGATTACAAAATTTGCATTTAAAAAACAATTAAAACAAATTAAGTCACAGTAGAAACAGAAAAGTTAATTTATTTAAATCAGAGGTGAGTATGTTGAAATTTCCGTGATTCCCCCAAAAAGGTCACTGATCTCTTTTCTATACGTATGTATGTATGTATGTATGTATTTGTTATCTTGTAAAAACAGATCAGCAATGAATCGCAGGGAAAGATCTGTTACTCACTTTGAAGGATTGGGGGATCTCTGGCAGAAGGAGTGCAAATATCTGGATCAGATCTTCGAAAAGCGCATTCCATTTAACAGCAAGGAACTCATTAGTTTCTACGACTATGTTTACTATCATTGCTCGAGCTTCGTCCACAATTCGAATGTGCGTTCCCAAGATCCCGGAAAGCATCTGTACGAAAACCTAACCAATTACATGAATACCAGGCTCCAGGAAATAGCAGCAGAAATCGAGATCATCACGGATGACGAGCAACTAATCATCAAATACGTTGAGTATTGGGATCCATTTTGGAAGGCCTGTGAGGAATTGAACCGGGGCTGTCGATACCTCAACCAAAACTGGGTGAAACGGGAACAGTTCGAGAAGCACGACCATATCCACCACGTCTACCGCATGGCCATGATCCGCTGGAAGGAGGAGGTCTTCAGTCCCATTGACAGGGCCCTGGTCACCGTCATTACCATGATCTTGAGGCAACGGCCGGGGAAACAGGCCAAATCCCTTGTCTACCAGGTGCTCAAATCCATTGTGGAGCTGTATGCCAACGATGAGAAACAAGCCGTGCCGGTGCCCAACAAACTGAACAACGTTTTCACGGAGGAAGTGGTGGGATTCTACAAGTCGGAGACCCTGGCTGAGTTCCAAAGAATCACCTTATCCGGCAGTTACTGCGATTTAAAGCACTTTCTCAAATACGCCTGCTTGGCCATGCCAGAAATCAAAGAGGGTGTCCAGTTTAAGGCAATCCTTAAGAGGCACATTGCCCTGCAGCTGGAGAAAGCCATATCGAAGTCATTGGGGGGCAGGGATTACTTGAATGCCTTCATGGCACTGCGCCACAGTCCCTTGGAGCGGGCATTGCGGGATCAGAAGGAGCTGGTGGCCGTGATCGATCAGGTGTGCACAGATTCAATCAACGCAATGAACCAGAAAAGGGATCCCATCCTGATTCTTAATGAATATTGCAACGAATTGATGACTAAGAAACAGGAATCCGAGAAGGCATTGATTGAAGAACTTAAACGGATCGTAGAGTTGGTGGAATTCCTCAACGAAAAGGACAAATTCATTCAACAATATTGGAAAGTCCTGAGGACTCGACAAATCAATGAGACATCCACCTGGGACGGAAATGAGTCCACAATGATTTCCCTGCTGACCAAAAAGTTCGGCAACGAAGCCACTTGCAGACTATCGAATCAGTTGACGGAATTAGCTCGGTCCCGGATTGTAAAGGATGGCTTCGAGGAATATCTGACTAGTAGGAATATCAGGTTTGGATTTGATTTCCGCCTCAAGTGCTTCGAATCCCGTGGTGGCGATGACAATTTCAAGCTGATTTTACCTGCGGAACTGCAGCAAGCTGCAAGCGAGTTTTACTCATTTTATTGCCAGCATAATATAGGTCGAAAGATTGAGTTCAACTTCGAAATCTCCTCTGGCGAGATGATCTGTCACTTGAAACATTCAACCCATATCCTTCAGGTAAACACTTTGCAAATGGCGCTTCTGCTGTTGTTTAACCATCAGAAGAGATTGACAATCAACGAAATGGTAGATATGTTGGGCACAAGTACGCAGATCCTGCAGCCGGTGAGTTTGATTCCCAAACTTGATAGTCATTAATTTAATTTAATTTAGGTACTGGACTTCTGGAAAACGATTGGATTCCTTATTTCGAGCGGCTTGGCTTTGGAAGTCAACATGAATTTTACAAGCAGAAAGCGCCGTCTTAACTTGAACAAGGTTTCGACTAAAACAAGAAAGATCGAGGATAAAGAAGATTATGAACTGAAAAATAGACGAAAGTATCAAATGGATGCAGCGGTGGTGCGCATAATGAAGAAGTATAAGATCCTGGAACACTCGCAACTGGTTGCACATGTTATTGACGAGCTAAAAAACTTGTTTACACCGAAAATAGGATTTATTAAAGAAAGGATTGAAGTTTTACTCAATAAGGACACGCCCGATATAGAGCGAACTCAGTCCAGCACTTACAGATACGTTTCCTAAACCAGCTGCAACTAATTATAGCTTATAAATATTTATTGCATACTTATGTATTATTTAGCTACAGATGGCAAAAATTTAAATGATTGTGATTCCTTGACATGTAACTATTTGTAATATAAAAGACGGAGAAGAAAATTAAAAAAGCCTTAACTACTGTAAAATTAAATATAAATTTCCAAAAGTTTTAAAAATTATGATTTTTTAATAAGGATTTGAAGACCTTTTAACAAAACTTATTAAATTTAGGTGTAATGAATGCTTTCTGCCGTTTCCTCATTCTCTAACTTGATGCAATTCAGTACTGTGTGATTATTTTCTAACTTGATGCTGGTCTGTTCCGTGCCTTGAAACTCCGGATCTGGGGTAATGAATTCGATGGAGTCAATCACCTCGGCATGGTGATGCTTTATGTGCTTCTCCAGATGAGCTTCGTTGGAGAAGGCTATGGGACAATAGTCACACAGTCGCTGATGCTGGATGAGCTTTGCTCCGGCCCTCCGGCGGGATAACTTCCATCTTGGAGTGGGCGAGTAATTGTACTCGTAGTTATGTAGGACTCTGCGATGGTTTGTTTTCGCAGGTTTCACCCTCTCCAATTCTGGGATGCTCTCACCTTTCTGCAGCCTAAGGTGTGTTCTGTGGAATAGGTAAAAACCATCCATTAATAAGTTACCGAAATGACTCTAAAAGTAAAATTAGTTCGATAGATTTTAGGCAGAAAAAAGGTTTTATACATAGATCCTGATAAGACTTTTTTAAAAATGATTTACATGATTTAACCTTAGTCTTATTGAGAAGCCAATAAATAGTATTTAAACATCATTATGTTATTATTCAAAAATCAAACATTAAAAACCATAGAAAGATTAAATTAGGAAATGTTTCTTGTTAATTTCTCTTCCACATGTGATTGCTACAAATGAAAAAAATTAAATTAATTTTAAGACTCGAACTCACTTTAGGTGTACGACCAATAAAGACTTGTAGCGGAACTTCCGGGGGCAAATTTTGCAGGGGTATTTATCGGCATTGATGTCCTTGCAGTCGTGGGTGGGAAACTCTTCGGTTGGAAAAGCTCTGATGCATTTGGAACAGACTTTTGGTGGCCCAGCCAAATGATAGCTTATCTCCTCCTCCACCGGATCGGGCTCCTCCAAGGGATACTCTTCCTTAACCGGATTCTCCGCATCCAGCATAACCACTGCAATATGAAAATATCGTTATAAATTTAAGGGCTTATTCCTGTTTCACAGCCCACCCTCATAGAACTCAGTCTCCGTAAAACTATCTTCTGTTTTAATGTATCTCGAAGATCGGACATCTTCATTATCTATGTTCCTTTCTCTTGTTTCCTCAGGGTCCGGTTCGCTTTTTATTGTCTGTTTTCTTGACTTTCTTGAGCTTGTTTTCCCGCATTTCCTTCCCATATTTTAGCGGCCGGAATTCCTATGTATTTAACATAGATTTCTTTAATATTGTTGGCTTTTTTTTGTTTCTTGACTTCCAGCTGATTTGATATTGTTTTTTAGGGTGACCAAATTAGAGACTAGCAATCAAGACAGATCGTCTATCGATATATAACATAACATATTGAAATATATGTTAATTTATCAACAACAAGAAATGAATGAAATAAATTAACATTTTTTAATTAATGAAGTTCCATCTCAGCTACATACATACATATATGACGTTGACGTTTTTTTTTTTTAAACTTTGTAATTTTTCCCTATTGATATTAATTCAATATTGTTCATTTTTAATTTGTATTATATGCTTCTATGTATGTATGTCTTTAAAAATAATGAAGTTATTTGTTTTCAAGTAATTTTTCGATTCTTCCCATGGAAGATATATAACATAGTCGTTTGTTACTAAATAAAATATACATACTTAAATTACTGACTATTATAAAAAAGGCCATCAATATAATTTATAGAAACTTCAAAGAACATTCTTATTTTTTACTTTATAGGTAGGTGTGCAGTATTGAAAAATTTCAAGAAATAAAAAATTCGAAAATATGTTACAAGTGTGAGTAAAAGAATATTAGATGATTAGTCTATGGGTCAAGGTGTAAGGAACTTTTACTTTTAAAGACTAACGTGCAAATCCGCTGGCCTGCCAGCATGCAAACGGAGGGACTTATTTCTATCAGTATCATTTTTTACAAGGCACATTTCTGCTCAAGATATCCATATACCATTCACTTGCGACCTTTTCGCTGTTCAAGTTCGTGGTGGTCGATCTCCTCGGGCGTGGGAAGAGTGGTTCCCTCAGCGGTCAGTTTGTAGCAGGAATCTATTAGGTGGAACCCAAAGCGACTGCCGGGGCCCATATTCAGAGCCACATCCGAGGACTGAAGGCCCAAGAAGTTCCTGCTGAACTCCATCGACATGCGCTGCACCTGGGCGCAAATACTGTTAAAAATCAAGCGATCGTGCATCCTGTGCTGCAGTTGCACCATCCTGGCCAAGTACCTCAGTTGACTCTGGGTCAGTGGCCGGGCCGTGAAGTTCCGCCGCGATTCACTGGCTCCGATCACCTCCTCGCAAAGAAGGTCTTGCACCGGCAGTCCGAACACGAGGGATATAGCCTCCGGCAAGGAGCACGGCGATTTTTCCTGGCGGGCCACGCACAAAGCCACAAAGGAGTCGCAAACTCCGGCCAACACAATTCCGTGTTTGTACCGGAAATGGTCGGAAACACGATGGCTATAGTGCACTATTTTTCGAGGCTGATCCGCCTCCAGAATCTTGGCCATTTCCGGAAAAATTGAGCCAAGGGCTTTGATATCCATGATGTAGGTTTCATTGGCCGTGGCCACAGCCAAAACGGAAGTGGCCTGATGGCGTCCGTAAAAACTGGGCTCTATCATCAAGGATATAGACGGTTGATCCTTGATATCATTCAAAGCCCTATGATAACTTGCGTCTGTTTGCTGGATGTAAACAATGCGAGTTAGCTTTTTATCAAGGCTTTCCAGTTCATCATGGCTGAGTGGGAATCGAATGTTGACTGGAATGGCTTCGAATGCGGAGCAGAAACTGTCATTTCCATCGCTGTCGCTCATCGTGACCTTAATATAATTTAAATTACATGTGTTATAATTTTAAAAAGTTACTTTTAATGGCATTTAAATTCGTAAGCTACCTGGTTCTTAAAAAGTTCGCTAAATAAAGGACAAGCTTGTAGAGAAGGAACAAAATCAGATGTGCTTCTGTCGATACTATCGATAAGTGTGGTGGGAACACTCGCTAAACATGGAGGATGTATTCGATAAGAGTGGAGAGTGAACTGGCTAACTCATGGGCTGGCAGCCCTGGTTGGGGTGTCAACTCCGATAAGCTTGAAGAGAAACTCCGCTATCGCCTTTTAATTAAAACAGTTGATTTAAATAAAATTAACCAAACACTAGAACAACTTTAAATAAGAGTTCAACTTTAGAAGCACCACATTAAAATTTAAATATTTCTGGTTTTATTTGCCAACTAAGATAAATTGCAATACAATGTAACCAATATTAACAACAAAGACGAAGGATATTATTTTAATTTACATTTGCATAAAAATAAATCATCTCAGCTATCTTAATAATAATTTAATGATTGTGATGTAAAATTCCACATTTTAGGTGACATAATAGAACAAAAACAATATTTACAAAAAAATTTAAGTAAGAACAATTTTGTATCAAGTGTTTTTTGTTTTTGCATCTGAAATTATTACTGTTTTTATTTGTGTGCAGTGCTACACTAAATTGGTGTCAGTTTTTAATCGCAAATTCATTACTTTTGAGTACAGAATGTAATCTCCAGCGGCCCTGAAACTGCCAAATATTAATGTGTGCAATTACTATTGACGGTCTTAGGACTGCTCAGCCCAATTGAGTGGAGCTTTGCCCCTCACCTCACCGCGTCTTAAGCAGACTGCGAATGGAGCTGGATGGGTTGCTAGGATATTGATTCGCATTTGATTTGACCACAAGTTAATCGACGACGATGCCCAAGATTTGTGAGGGTCCAATTGATTTGCTAATAGCCAGCTCAAGGCGAGCGCCAGACTTGGACTATCAGCACGGCAAAATGAGACAAATAGGTAAGTGCTTCGCAAATCCGCACCTTTCGCCCCGGCTAATAATGAAACCCGAAGCGATTACACTGCAAAAGGTTAATTGGTTTGTAAGCGCATTGGATGGGTAAAGAAAAAGATGTGAAGGCGACGGAAGTGCGCACACAATACTGGCTCGTAGGTCCAGGCAGCTGACTCAACCTAATTGGCGCACGCGGCGCATACTTAATGCGCTTAGATGCGGGCCAAGCACTCCGTTTTCGCCATTGCCATTTCTATTGCCACGGGCGCTTGTAATTAAATCCCGGCCAAGGCAGCCAACTGCAACATCACAAAATTGAGCCGTTCAAAGGGCAAATCGGGTTTAATTTTAATGCCCTTGCTAAGTAAATTGAGTGTATCAAATACATCGCATTTGATCATCTTATTTCGCCTGTTGAAATTGCAAATAAATTGAAATTGGGGGGCTTTGATGTAGCCAAATTACTTTTGACTGCGAGATTGGTTTCCATTTGTGAAAATCAGAAGAAGGTGCAATTTATGGGTGATTTAAATTATATTTATTCATTATTTGTAGAATAATTGTTTAATATAAATAAATTTAGAAACTAATTGAATGTTTGTTTAAAAAGTATGCGTAATCACTTTCTAGTAGAAATACATTAAATTATATAGTTTTAAAAACACTTCAGATAGTCTAACAAATTTAAATATACATTTTATAATAAAATTAAGTTAACATTTAAGTCTTTTTCCTTTCACAGAATTCCTTTTTCTATCACAGCATCTTCTGTGGTTACAGAATATTATGCCTAAGGAAGGACAAAAAGAAAACTAATCAACAATAGTTATCAACTAACCATTATGATACAAAAGAAAAGTAAGAAGAGACCTTTTCCCTCATAATAAATTTCATAAACAGCATTTTTCTATCGAGTAATGAGGCAAATATCCAGGACTCAGGTTCAAAGCTCCCTTTTCGTTTAGTTTGCGTTTTGTTTCCGCTCTGCGCATTGTCAATTATTGTTGCATACTTTGTGGCGAACAATGCAAAGTGGTTAATGAGGGGGGCGTTGGGGGTGGTTCCCTGAGCTTTGAAGGGGTTTTAGGCGCTCTTTTGGGGGGCGTTAGAGGCTAACAAGAAAATCCCTCTACGCCAACACGCGCACACCGTAATTAAGAGACACTCCACTCCATTCCGGGCACCAGGGACGATGGCCCCGGGCCGATGGGAAAACAATGGATGAACACACGCTGGCCCCGAGTTTTACCCCCTTTCCATGCCCGAAGCTGACCCAATTAGTCGAGCAGGCAGGTCCTTCCATCCTACCATCCCACCATCCCACCATCCTTCCTCCGAATCTTCGATATACACGCTTTTGGATCTTTCTAGTTACCAGGCCCGTGGGTTGCCACGTTAATTAAATTATCACGTGTCAATTAATGTTGCCCGGCCCAGCGAAACGCAGCCGGAAAAACCATTCACTTTGACGTTCGGTCGGACGAACGGCACACGGTGCGTATAAGCGATGCCTGTCAACTATCAGCTGTCGCAATTTCTCCAAGCGCAATGCTTCTCGCTGTCGCCACAAAGCAAAAGCAACCAAAACCGAGCACATAAAAACCTTCGCTTGAAAATCCGTTTGATGATTTCTCGTCAAAGTTTATAAGAGTTTTTACAACCAGTTTTGGATAGGTTTCCGTCGGAAAGCAGCAATGCGAGATGATCGCGGTTGGATTCGGTTGTGGCCCAGAAAAATGCTTTTTTGCAATACCAAAAAAGTGGTGCCATATAATATTATCCAGCTTTGAAAAAAAACAAGGGAAACCTGCTTTTATTTGGTCAATAACCATAAGAATTAAACTTTTTCTTATATAGTGATGGGTTTTCATGAGCTTGTTTTTATTATTATAGATTTGATTTCTTAATGAATATAAATTTTTTGTTTTGAAACTAATACTAAGACAAACTGCCTTAAATACGAGGAATTATGTTCGGTTAAGTCCAACGTAACTATATTTTTGTAGGACATGACAATCCAATTCCCAATTCAGGATTTCCATTTCGACTCGCTTAACAGTTAAAGTTTTTCAATTAAACGATTAAAATTCCAACGTTTTTCGCGCGTTTAATTAAACTCTGCCCGAGGCTGGCAAATCAGAGTCTAGCGTTTGTTTGGATTTATGCTCAATTTAATTGTGAAAATGCCTTTGGGCTGAACAATTAGCGTTGGTTTTGCGACCACTTGATGATGATTTCTTTGTAATATTTATCAGAGAAGTGAACATGCCGATTTAAAAGGGAGAACAATAAATGTTTAATCATGTAAATTATAGTTTCTATTGATTTACTTAAGGTGAAATACACACAGAGTTAACTAAAGTGGGAATAAAGTGAAACAAAGTCAATCGTTCTATACTTTTGTAGACAAATAGCTATAAATAAAATATTGATCATTTAATGAAACTGTACAAAAAATAAAGTTTTAGAAACTTTTGGTATTACTTATAATTATGCAACATCGGGAAGTTAGTTATTATACGAAAACTAAACAATAAAAAAGTTTTTCACAAAATAAAAATTCTTACCTTATGATAAATGCACAGGCAATAAATACGGCTTATGCAATTTGGTTCGTTTACCACAATCGATTTGCCATTTATTTAATATGCAGCAAAACAAAATAGCAAAAATAGGTCCTGCAAAAGAGCATATTTCACACCTAACAAGCTTACAAGCTACTATTATTGCTGTTGCAGGCTGGCTGCTTTAATGGGATGGCCGCAAAACCGCAAAATTTGTGTTACATTTGCAGGCCGCTGTGTCAGCGAATTGGTATACCCCTTCGCCACTCGCACATGCTGCCATTATTTTTCCGATTTTTTTGGCAGCCCTTTTCAGTGTAGGTCCTGTGTAGCGGTTGGATTTTTTCCTGTTTAATAGCATACTTCTGGGCGAAGCGCCAACCACCTGTAAAGGAGAAAATGCGAGGGGGCTGGGGAGTTGGCATGGGTCTCAGGTGCGAAGTATCAACGACGCGTTATTGTCGCCATTGCAGGTGTCCATAATGGTTTCGGCCATAAGCTCGGCTTGGCTCCCCACAGGACAATTGTCCTGACTTGCCGGCGGCATAAACATTAACAGGCGTTTTTATCGCCACACCTCCACAGCCAGCGAATTCTGTATGCAATGCTATTTGAATGCTCTTCTGAGGGGAACCACCGCCATTAAAAATACGATTTCGTTTGGTATTGCCCCAATAAGGCCGAGCGAATTTCGAAAAGCGCGGATAAAATCTGTTAATGTTGTTGGTAAGTCAGATTATTGAAAAGAATAAAATATATATACATATATTTATATTTTGATTTAGTTTTATGGTATAGCAAATACTTAACATTAATGAAAGTTATTTTATAAAATAATTTTTTTAATATTTGAAACCATTTTAAAATCTTTTTTATTTTAAACGAAACATTATTATATATTATTATAACGTTAAACAAAATATAAGAACATATAAAACAATCTCTTGCGTTATATAAACTTGTAAAATATGAAAGAATATATGTAATAATTAGGCTTTAAAAACTGCATATATTAAAAAAACTTAATCAGATTAGCAGAGCATGAATGTTCGAGGGCTTTCAATCTATTTATGATAAAGAATCCTATTGGAAGGCATCATTTTACATTTATGTTGCCCTTAATTTGCATTGTTTGCGTGTGCGTGAAAATATGGTATATCCGTTAGCCTTTTTATAGACGCCATCGTTGGGCATGTATGTAATTATGTGCAATATAAATGCTTAGTAGGGGGAAATTATGATGCAATAACTTTTCACCCCGCACGCAGCCACTTACATACATTGAAAATGCCAATCGAATGCTTTACAACAAGGAAAATGTATACATACACTTCTGAGTGTGTCTGCGTATCCTTTGATCCTTTGAGCAACCAATGCGTATACTCAATTTTTATGGCTTGTCATTTGCTTGCTCCTTTTTCGTTTTTCTTCTTCGTTTTTGAAGCCCCACTCTACTTTGTCTGAAGCAGGAAATATGAAAAAGTCGCAGTGGGTCAAGGGGTGTGTAGGAAATGGGTGGGCCTTCTTTTGCCGGAATTTTCGTG